CAAGGCCAAATTGAGAGTGTTCTATGAAGCATCGTGGGGACATCGAATATGATTCGGATATATTTGAAGGAATGAAATATTTCTAATGTCAGATTCCACTATCAATTTCTTAACTTCTACTACTACCTGGTTAGACACTGGCTAGTATCTATCTCCTGTAGTGATCCATACGATATCCATTTCTGCAGGTAAGAAATCTGCTGAGGGAATGCCTGCATATGGCGCTAACCGAAAGGGGATGTGCAGGTTTTTTTTCTTATTTTGTATTTTGATTTTCCCTTTAGTGATTATTCTTCCCTGCTGCTCCAGTGGAGAGTTCCCGGCGTGCCCGGTTCTGCCGATGAGCTTACCTGCTCATTACTAGTGGGTAAGTAGTCCTGCTCCTACTCCCTGCTCAGGAGGTGCTGCTAACTTGCTCTAATCCCAGACCCAAAACAAAGACACCGCCGTGCTCGCGAGGTTGTCTTGAAAGAGAATGCGATGAGCAATCTCCTTTCGAGGCAAAGCGAGGAGAGCTGTCCTCTCCACCAGCGCTGCTTCAGTTCCTTGATTTCCCGCCACCTCCAGACTACACCACACACGCTACACAGGGATTCGGTTGGGACAGGCTACTCCATATCGACTAGACTGCCAATCCCTAACACATGCACACAGCACAGACACCTGGGCAAGTGACCATTCACCATTCGGGCACCAATAGTGTCAATCATGGTCTGTGTGTAAACGGTAGGACGGTTTCGCCCAGCCTATTCGGTGACTATCCTCCAGTCAGCCTCACGAGTAATACGAAAGGCCATTACTGCTGCTTGGACGGGCCGCGTTCGGGAAGCTGTTTGACATGTTTCCACAGACGGGTGTCGAGAAGGTATGACAGCAGCAGCTCTTTTGCGGGGGATGCCCCCGTCGCAATCTGGAAACCTGCCGGAGAAACGCCCGAACCCATTGGATGGGTTTCTCACCTTTGCAACGCCATCAAGCACCTGTCACCAACCTTTCTCCGTGGACATGGCTTCGCCTGACATGGGCGCAACAGAGTCGATCGCTACAGGTGTCAACCCGGTGCTAGGATTAGCACGCGACGAGAGCCTACCAATGCAAGTCAACCGAAGCGCGCGCGGTTTTCGTTTTTCCCAGCCTGCTTTTTTACTTTTTCCCACCCTAGCCGCCACTGGACTCATCACATTCCCACCGGTCTGGAACCTCCACAACCTCCTTTTTTGCGATTACAGCGCGTCGCGCCGAGCAAGTCCGGCACGGCACGCAGTTGCTAACAAGGAAGGGAGTGGAGAAGATCGTACCTACATTCTATGTATGTGAACGGAGTAGTCCGTTCTGACGTACATGCGCATATACATGCGATTGTTGAGGACAATGATCAATGATGAAGACTCATATCATATGCACTGGCATCGTTGCAGTCCCGCAATGGCCGTCCCGATTATCATTATTGCCGTCGCTCCTGATTGCGATCGCAAAGACTGGGCATGTGACACTTTGGAGGAACGACCCTACCCATGGCTCACTAGTAAGTGGCAGTTACATCTTTCTTTCTTTTTCTTTTTCTTTTTCTTTTTCCGTCTCTTTCCCCCCTGATTCCTTTGATGGCAGCAACGGGCTAGAAAAGGAAGTCTGCCTTGGGAAGCAAACGGGATAAAGCAAGCCATGGCATCTCCAAAGCCCACCGTGCCCAGGATGGGGGACCAATAGCCACGACGCATGGGCGGAGATGTCAAGTTGCGAGGATCAGCATCTGGACAAAGCGCGACCCTCGGGCAACAGGACGATCCGAGTCTCTAGATCCCGCTATGTGACTCGATACCAGCCAGGGAAGAGCAATGGCTAAACGGTATGAGCTAGGCGACGGGAAGGACCTAGTCTACACCACGTAAACACAGCTAGACTGCTACCCATGCATACTCCGTACATGATTAGACTAAGTGACTCGAATAATGAGTGCGTGAGTAAGACCTGACGGGACCTCAGTCCCAACTACCACCCACCCCGGCTTAGTCCCGCACGAAGGCAGAAAGGATTAATATAGATACATTAGTTGGGTAGCCATCATGGCCCATGCCATGTCCGTCGGGTCTGCCTGGAGATTAAAATAAAATTCAGGGGCTGGGCAAAACAGCCCCCAGGTTAACTAACTAGATATTTAGTTAGTTCCTGCCTACTAGGAAGAAGTGGGAAGGTGACAGTCACTTCAAAGTACCCTTTTTCTCCATTCTCATTGGTAAAAGACTCCTTCGTATTTCTCCCGCCTTGCACACTAAGTTACTACTTACTACCATTTACTTAACTTGGGTAGGTGGTAGGTGTCAGACTCAAAAGTACGCTCTTGCCCTGTGTGTCGTATCCGCTTCCCCCCTTCCCCCCCTGATCAGCAACCATGTGTTTAGGCTAGACGAGATTCAGCTTGGGAGACGACCTGGAATCCTTTGGATAGTTACTTGGTTGCTCGCTCGGGATTGAAGCTAAGGGCTAAACGGTACCCATCCGTGTGGGTGTGTGTGTGTGTGTGTGTGTGTCTGGCCACGCACACTTTCAACTAGTTTGTTTTTTTGGTATGTCTGGGATGTGAATCCATGCAATGCTACCTTGATGCATTGAATGCTTACTTACCCATTAACTACCTCGTAAGTGTATACAATTCATACCTTAAGAAACAACCTGAATAGAGCATGATAAAGACATACCACATCACACAAACTTAACTACAAATCCACCGCTACACAAATAGAAAATGGTGATAGAAAAGAAGTTATCTCGGAGAAAGAATCCGAATTCCCCATCACCCAGCAATCCCCGTAAGTCTAATTCTAATCAAATCAACAACATCAACACCAGTAACAAATACACACCAATTTTTGCATACTCAATTACATACATACACACACACACCACACACAACAATAATACACGACTAATATAACCCCCTCCCCCCTGCCGACCTGGACTAGCCTTTCTAACCGAGAGAGGAAATGCTCAAATCCGAGCCTCACTATGCGGAGTATTCTGGTTGGTTGATTGAGATGAAGTAGAAGGATTTGACGATATGGACTGTAAGTGATGCTTTCTGGGCTGAAGGATGTTCAATGAAATCGGTCTAGATGTACATATGTATGTCAATTAGTAGTGGTTAAGGTTTTAGGTTCTGTCGTTGCCTTCTTGCCTGCTTTTGCTTTGCTGGGGTAGTGGGTGCGGACCATTTATGTTTAAGAATTGTGGATTGTGGATGTATATTGTTTGCTGGATGGGTACTAGTCAAGTCAATAAGTAGTTGTTTGGTATGGGGTATGGTTTACTTTTGTGGGGATGGTCATGTTCTTACTTACTGCGCAGTAGACTTAGACTACTTCCACATATGTGGAACTTGCACACACTCACTCACACACAGCTACATAGGCATTAAATGAATAACATCGACACAATAATCCAAATCACCCACCCTATACTCTGACACACACACATACCTCACCAACAAAGCGATCCCAACAACATGATAGAAAGACGAGAAATCGACTCATCCAATTCACCATCTAGAATTACCTTTCCACCATAAAACCCAAAATATCATCTACATCTAACCGACATGCACATCTATGAAAAAATCTTCCCCATTATTCATGGTGTAGGGCGGTAATTTATTGCGATATATGCGAAAGAATCAAAGACAGATAAACCAATCACGTTCGCCCGATCACTATGATCGAGTGTTTACTAAGGGTCATTTGATCGTAGGGGCCTGAGCACTACTTACTTATGCTCAGTGATGGATATGGATGCAGCATTTCGGCAATAGGAAAGGGAAATAGGATCCGAGAGGATACTTTACTAACTCACTACTCATATACTATATTATTATCTACTACCTATACAGTAATACTAGAAAATAATATCAAATACGGGGTTTATACGCAGATAAGTATATCGAAATCAAATTGTTGTTATTGTTATTGTTGTTGTTGTGTCTGCTGACGCTGATCATCGCTACCGTGATCCATCCATATCCATAGGACAATAAACCCCCTCCTACAATCACATAGTAAGTGTATAGTAGTTAGTAAAATCTCGCCTCACTGCACTAAAGCCTTCAGCAACACTTCATGGAAGTACAATTCCGAGTGGAAATAGAAACGTACACGATCAGCAACATATTTTTTCTTCTTTCCTTCCCCCCCTTTCATACAGTACTCCGTTAGGAAGTAGGTATGCACTGGGCCTATTCGGACTTATGTACGTATGAGTAAGATGCTAAGCTACATTGAGTATGTGACTGACTAGCACGTACGTGTCAGATGCGATGGATTTGATTTGCGATTGGGGAAGAACACCCACCCCCAAAAAAGTGATTACGTTGGAAATGGACTTACTAAAAAGTAGGGGTGATGGAGATGATCGGATTCTTTTCTCCGTCTCAGCTACACTTGTCTATCTACTTGCTTGGTTAGTGTGGTGCTACTGCTACTGCTACTGCGAGGAAAGGAGGGAGGGAGGTGCGTGTCATAGGTAGATAGGTACAGCTGGGTGGGGATGAGGAGAGTCTGTGAGATGCATGTCAAATTATCACGACTGTCAGTGACAAGCTGATTTGGATTTGATTTCTTTTTGTTCTGGAATCTCGAGTATGGCGCTGTTATTGTGAGAAGGTGTCAGGTTACAATGGTATCTCACTCATACTGCTGTCTGCTTCAAGAGACTGACGGCGCGGTTACCGACAGAATATGCATTGCTTTGCCTAAAATAGAGCGCATTTCCTCCCCTCAGGTCCTGTGCAACATCATGCATTTCTATTGTGGAGCAGTCTTTCACACGTCTAGTCAATCTAAGACAGAAACATCGATTCAGCCGATGAGAAACCAAAGTAAATGCCCAACTGAATGTCATAATGCCAAATACATCCAAGCCGTCATAATACCCTCTGATCATGCCATGCAATGTAGATGCTGCTTCCGGTCGTCTAATATCAAATGCGAACAAAAGTGGTATATGAAACAAAAGAGTCAAACACGAACACCAACCCAGCCTCAGTTCAGAAACTGAGTCTCCGGCTGCTGTCGAAGGAGATAGTGGAAGATGCGCCAAATACCCTTCAGCGCCTCCACACGGTCTTCACCCTTGAGGAGGTCGTACCACCGGGTACGTCGTAGCTGTAGAACATACCACGGTTGCTCCGGCGTGTCGGTTACAGGCGGGAAGTTGCTGGACCCATTGGTGATAACTTCGAGATATCTTCGGTGTACACGCAGATGAAGGATCGACACATGATGATTGATAGAGGACAATAGATAGATCTGCCGTTTCAGTTAGTCTCTGTAAATGTAACCTAAACAAAGCATGCATTGGAGCAGGACGCTTACATCGTCAAATGCACTGTCGAGCGGCTTTCCAATCTGTATATACCGCATCCGCTTATCCCAAAGACCCGGCCCAGGCTGAATAATCTTCCACCTGTCGCTGTTACTCATTTTTCGCGCCGAACTCGGTCGACGCGATGCGAGGAACGGATGCTCGTACTTGGAGCGTTTGCGAGCATATCCAGACTCCGATGGCAGCTTGTCCTCCCCATGTGTCTCCTTCTCATTGTCACTGACGGAGTCGTTGGGAGCGCCGCCCCATCGGGGCACTGTTGTCCACCACTTGCCTTCACCTGGTCTCACCTCTGCTTCCCCTTGTCTCGCCCGTTCCTGAGCTGTCAGGAGCATGGCACCCACCTCCCGAAGCAAATCACACACTTCTCCCATGCCAGAGCCTGGGGCATCGTGTGGCCCGCGCCACGAGGTCTCGGGTCGGCACTGAGCTGCAAAGATAGGCCCTTCCATTATACCGCTTCGCGCCAGTTGACGGTCCTTTGGCGATCGTGCGGCCTGGAAAGTGTGTCGGACAGGGAAGAGCAAGGTCTTCACAGCCAGCCGAGGTGGAGAGATAGGAGGGGCTGCCTGGCAGCCAAAGGGCCAAGCAGCCATTTCGGCCAAGGCTCGAACGGTCTCCTCGCGCACATCCTCTGGCATCTCGTGTCCGGCACCAAGACGGCGGCCCTTGTACATAGTAACCATTTCTTCCTTTGTGTCTGGCTGCGCCTGTGAACCGTCTTTTGTCGCTTCTGCAGGCGGCGCTGGGTCGACGTCCATGGATGTTTCCGAATTGTCTTCGGCCGCTGGCGGTTGGGCATCCCCATCCGTCTGCATCTTGTCTGTGCCTTCTTCTTGCTCTGCCGGAGGGGGCGGTGATTTCGGGCGCTCGTAGTACTCGTCCAAACTGGTATCCCAATATTGGGCCATCCGTTCTAGGCCTGTCCAGAATTTCCTCGTTTGAGCCACACGCACCCTTGGACGCCCGTCGCGGGGCGGCAGTCTGCCCACCTCTCTGAAAGCGTCATCGTTATCCAGTAGGAGCTCGTTCTGCAACGCCTCGAATCGGTCTCTGGAGGGATATGAATTGCCGTTGTCCATCAGGATAGGACAGCCATCCTCATCTACCGGGGATGAGCGAGCTGACAAGTTATCCCAAGGGAGCGGAGGAGCTGTATTTGCCCCGCTCGGACGAACGATGTCTGCTGCAGACACATTCTCTTCGAGTCTCAGATTGAGCGCCTCGAATTTCTGCGTGTTGATATCCTGTGGTCGTCGAATTGACGCCAGCACTTCACTCAGTCTCGACAGAGTAGCCTCCGGGTCCTTATCCGAAAGTTCCGGCAGCTGGTAGACGGGGAAGTCAAGGAGCGTGGGGGCGGGAGGAGGACGGCGCTCTTTCTCCGGCTCTGAGCTCACGGAGGGCAGGCCTGCATCGCGTGTCAGTATTAGAAAGTGGGCTCTGTGAGTGCGCTCAGGTCAGTCAGCCAGGCTGACAGCAGGCCTGGAGGGTTGGGGGCCATAAATGCAATTGAACATGGATCAAATGCTGACACACAAGTTGTCTCTTAGAAGCTGGAGACGATGGGACAAGGCGCGACCGGGTCAGCGACCGGGACTCTCCATCATCACACCACCACCAACACCACTCTAACCACTTTCCGATGGTCCCACGCCAATTTCGCACGACTCACAGAAAGCAGAAGGAAGCGCACAAGAGACGGGACGAGACTAAAGAAAGCAAGGGGAAGGCGATTGACGACCGAGCGGGAGGGCGAAGCTTACCCAAGGTACTACACCAGCCAAACATGATGCCCGTAATTAAAGTGCGGGAAGGCGGAACGGGAACCAGTGATGGTTTGTGTCTTCTCTAGTACTCTATGCGCCGAATGGAATCGAATCAACAGACTAATAGGGATGCGATGTGGATGCGATGCGAGATCTCAGCACTAGACGGAGGCTGAGTGACTTTAGTTCATCACTTTGCGATGTGAAGCTAACCGGCAGTGGGGGGAAAATAAGAGAAGCACGAGGCACACAGGAGGAAAGACAAATGAGAGGGCGGAAATCAAGTAGTGGAAAGCAGATGAACCAGTCAGCGGAAAGAATGGGACTTTGTTGTTAACCGATAGTGGCAACCAGGAATGGAGGAGAAGAGGCAGTGGGAATTGTTGGATGGATGTTGGATAAAGGCGAGGATGGCAGTGGAGAGGGAGAGAGAGAGGGGGGGAAGTGCATGCATTGAAATAAGATAGCAGTGAATGAAAGAGTCGAATGGTCAAATGGTTAGTCGCCTTCAGTTTGCCTTAGCCTCTCGTTAGTCCTTCGACACTCCCGGGCTTCATGGAATCCATCATTCTCCCCTCCAAGTGGAGTTGGACCCATTCAATTCGTTCCCTTTCTTCCCTTCCCATCTTATCGCCAATACGTATCCATTCATTTCATCCATCCGTAAATCCACTAAACATTTTTGCCTCTGAATTCTATTTTACCCGCCGAGAAGGTGCCTGGCGATTTCCCCGGGCCCAATATTGCGGGGGAAGGAAAAAGTATGGGGATAACCATGGCTGCCCAGCGCCCTCCCCCATTCTTGGGCTCTTCGAAAGAACAGAAACCCTCTCTATGGGCTGTGATGTCAATTGACTTCCGATCCACCCTTTCCTGATGGCGTTTCGACCAATACATGCCCCCCCAATTCTGGGTGAAGGAGGGGACTGTAGTAGACGTGATCCCTGGAAGGGAAGATGGAGATCACAAGTCCCGCGGTGGCAATTCTGTCTCCTCTTCTCGAGTATTGCGCAAGTGCAACTCCGTCCTTATCCGGGGATATTATCATGCATACATATAAATCGATTAGGTCACCTCGTGGGTGATTTCATGAGATTTGAAATCCGAGAATTGAGTCTAAGGAGGATTTGCACCCAGTAGATGCCACTATAGCTGTCGACGTCTGATCGTCTCTCGGACAAGGACCAACTGATCAATTCTTCATCCGAAAGATGGGACTGTCCCAATCAGGCTAGTTCATACTGACTCAGCCTGCACATGATGGCACTAATGTGGAAGTGGATTAGCGGTGGCTGACTGGGTTGTCCCAAAAGAGTAACTCAGTCACGGGGCCCCCACTTGATTGGCGCCAACAGCCAATGAATATCTGCCAATCACATTTTCCTCACCATTACTTAATTAATCCAATCAGGCAATGGACCCAATCAGTCCATCATCTCCATCATCGCCCTTTTTCCATCTATCCATCTATCCCATCGTCCACTATTCAGCACGGTTCAGCTCCGTCAGATAGATGAATCCATTCGATGTGCCATGTTGTGACTGACTTTGGTTCCCTAGGCTTATCCCCCCTCTCCACCCCCTTCCATAATCCAATAAGACCGTTCCAACGTCTGGTGGTTCCTGACCACCCTCAAGGGCCGTTAACACAACGCTAGGGGCGAGGGGCCCAAACCCCCCTCTCTGGCCAGCGACTAATGCCGCCCAGCACCTTCGTTAGAGCTGCCTCTGCATCGCGGATTGGATGTCTTGGATGACTGCGGTTTCATCCACTTCCTCAAGGGCAGCAATTTCTTCCACACACCCCCCTGCTTCCTGTCGTCACAGCCGGTTTGTTGGTCCACCTGTACATGGCGCTTGGCCAAACACAATGGCCTGCTTTTTGTTTGTTTCCAGGGACCCTGGTCCTCTTCTCTTCTCGTTCCCATCCCTGCTCCTTCACAGCCTTCTTTTTTTATAGCTTCTTCAATATATCTGAATCTCTCTTCTTTCTTCACGTGTGATCGAAATCTCACGCGTTTTTGGCCCTCCCGCCTCACCAGCCTATCCTGAAACAGGTGCACCACCTCCAGGCTATTGCCTCTGACATCTGCTGTCATGGCCTGCCTGTCTCCTCCCGGTAGAGAGAATCAGCAATGAGTCGGCCTTAGCATGTGTGTATCTGCTTTCTTCGACTGTACCCACGGCTTCCGTTTGTTCACTCTTTCCATACCTTCGTGAGCCGGTCATTCACTACAATATCAAGTACTACCTTTGCCCGCGGCCTCCCCCCGCTCTTTTACGCGCCAGCGGCCTTAAATCCAGGGATTCCCTCTTTTGTTACTTTACAATCATACCTGGTTCTTCATGCAGGCCACGTTCTTCTCTTCTTCCCCTTCTTGATCCAGCAAAGTACTTTTTGCGTCCTCCGGCCTGCGGGCTTGGCGACATGTCCAGGTCGAGCTCTGCGGTTCTCCATCAGAGTTCGAGATGTGCAACTAAGGTTCCTCGACACTCCAACATAATAGTGTCTTCTGCACCAGTAATCACCAGTTCTTCCTTCACCTCAGCCGCTTCCTCTCCCTCATTCACAAATCCGGTCCCCGTGTCCTCGACCGAGAGCTCATTGTCAATCGAGCCCTCCCCGTCCAACAGATGGCATTCAACAGCTGCAGCTGCAGAAGCTCTTACAGATGCCACGGCTACAAAGTCGTCACAACCATCGGCTGGTGACTCAGTGCTCGTCCCGGCGACAACTGCATCCTCTATCCTGGCAAATCCCAGCGACTACAATCTCATACAAACACACACGGAGGATGGCACTCATTTGCATATGCCTGTGTCCTCACGGACAAGTTCAATATCAAGTTACCAAACGCCCATGTCGACATCAGAATCCTCCACTGATGTACTAAGCCCCATAACGTCAACGATGTCAACGACACAGTACCCTCACAGCTCTTCTACTTCGTTTATTCCACACTCAGCAGTAACTAGCGCTGTCACTTCAGCCAATAGCTCGTCGCATGGCTACATAGATCAGTCGAATCATGGTGACTCTCACTCCTCACTGCGCGCAATCTTGGGAGGCGTTCTAGGAGGTGTAGCTTTTGTTGCTCTTGCGCTTGCAATAGGTTATTTCGTGATGCGTCACAAGCGGCGCAAACCCCGTGACGAGTTGGCCACTGGGACGAGTGAAGAACACCTGCAAGATGACCGCAGTCCGGCTACTTCCTCAGCAGGCTCACATCAAGTATATCAGTCGTGCGGGTCATCTTTCACCGACAACTCCTCTACCCCCTCCAGCCCTCTTCGCGCTATGTTCCCGGTATCAATTCCGGCCAAGAGCTACCAAGCGCGTCGGACCCCTTCCGGACCGAACATCCTCTCCGATACAAACCCTTTCCTAGACTCTGCGGAGATCAAGTATGTGTCGCGTGGTAGTGGCGTTCCCAGCACCGCGGGGACGCTCCGCAACCCGTTCGCTGATGCCGCTCCAAGTCACACTGTCGTCATGCGACAATCATACATGTCGCAGCGACCCGCGTCAGCTGCCTGGTACTCCATGCATAGTGATCGCAGCTTAGGCAGTACGGTCCACCTCCCGGGGCGGAGCAGTGCGGGAAGTAGCCTGCAGCGACTCAGCTACCCGTTCACCGTGGCTGAGCTAGAAGCATGCGAGCCCATGGCCAGACTAAGCACGCGCAGTGACCCCTTTGATCTGGAATGTCCACCCCACGCTATGCACAGGCGTAGTTCTACCGTCATACCGGTGGGGCACGTCTAACTTACGGCTGAGGAGAGAGAAGATAGAGCTTTTTGCTGTCCGCACACAGAGTGTAGGACACGGAGAAGCACACGAGATACGCGACATGAGTCCACGCTATCCTCTTCGATCAAGCATATGGAGTTCCCGTTTGGTTCGTTGAGCAGGGAATGCAGAGAGATGGAGCGGATTTTACTTCAAGATAGATGTATATGTAATTTACTTATGATTGGTTCTGGTGATTATCAGGCATGGCACGCAGGTGGTGGGTAGCGAAGGGTAAGTAGTAAGGGTGTGCCATGCTCCCACGGCTGTATTTGTATGTGTACGATAATTACATGTGCAATTGTCGTGTGCGAATACAATTTCCAAAATTCCTATTTCGAATGTGATACAGCCTAGTCATATATCCATCTTCTAGTAATACTATATGTAGTACTAAGTAGACCAAAACTTTATGAAATGTAGATACATATGCTGAACGCCATACCAATCATCATAAGTTAAACATATAGATTCAACCCTTGTAGCATCTGATTCGGCCGGTACCTAGCTCAAGTTCCAATTATCAAATAAAAATCGAAACTGCCTTTCAATTTTATTTTCTTCGCAGCATTCTTTAGCCCCCTTCAACGTTCGGTTTTACGAACTGAAATAAAGGGAGTATGATGATGGCAGTGGATATATATTCTCATTCGACTAGTACTCAATCTACCCCCGCGATTCCCCACCGCAACCGCGTCGTTAAGAAATCATCCCTACTAGTAGTAGTAATAGAGAAGCAGCCCTACTTCTAAACAAGGGAATGTATAAATGAAGTATACATACATATACGTTTACACCATCAACATCAGACTTTAGTTATTCAACTTGACATCTAGACTCACATACAACTTTCCCGTCTGGAAATAACCCCGACGGAAAACTCAAGGCTAAGCTACTAGTAGTAGTGCGGTGGAGGCTGTTCCACACACAGACCTAGTCCGACAGCTGAGATGTTAGAAGAGACGAAATAGAAGAAAACAAAATTGAAGGCTGGAATTTGAGGATTTCCAGTGAAAAGAGGTAATTTAAATGATGAAAATTGACAAGAACATTTTTCTACAACCCATAGATAGAGGGGGGAAGGTATTAGTCCATTTATGAAATTGAAGAAAGTGGGGATGATTTACTTTATCCATTCCCAGGCTGAATGTGAGGGATGGGCTTGGTTTGACGTAATACGAAGGAGAGGGGGGGGGTTTTGGCTGCATTTGCAATAGTTTATGTATGCAACCTAAACTACAACAAGTAATATTCTAGACCATTACAAGGAACCGACTATTGTGTTAACCCTCGGAATGATATTCAGGATGTGCGTTACGACATTACATGTTCAGTGCAGAGGAAAAAGAGGAAAGAAAAAGCAGCGTGTGCTTGGGCAGAAAGCAGCAGAGGGACAGATATATCCGGGCGGGAGTTGGCTGGATTTTAATATCGAATAGCAGTTCAAAGGCGATTTTCACGGTCCAGGAAGGAAAGAGTTGGCGAAAGGATGAAGAAATAGTAAAAAAAAATTGGAAATTTCGTATCACACAAAGCGCCATGCCATTGTTTTGCTTTAACAGTTAGGTCTTTTTCCTTTTTTTTGCGTGGTCCTTTCACATGCTCTTCCCCGTGAAGAGGAAGAGACGGGGATGACGATGATGGTGATGATGGTGCATATCCTTGATCCCCAACCCTGTTCCAGGCTCCCGATACGATCCAAACAACCCCGTCCCGGATGAATCGAGCCACCGAGCCAGACCTGCAACGAACACGGAGTGGTCGATCAGAGTCCGTGGGCTGATCGATTCCCTCCCCCGTTTCAACCTCCGCACCGCCCAAGTTCCTTAGCTGAGGAAAATTACTCCTGAGCCTCAGCAATGAGGGCGTTCTGCTTGGCCTCCTTGCGCTCCAGACGTCTCTCACGGAGAGCCTTGTTCTTGGCACGCTTAGCATCCATCTCCTCCTTGAGGACGCGCTCACGGTGACGCTCAGCCTTGGCCTTCTGGATCTGTAGTATGGAAAGAGATCATGTTAGCCCCTATTTCCTCATCTTCCCAACAGAAGACCGTATACACTCGTTCCGTTTCGTAGTCTCGAGAGTATAGCGATTTCATCAAAAAAGCAAATGGCGGCGAAACTTACGTGCTCGATGAGGGAACGCTTGTGCTTGAAGGTGTTACCCTTGCTCAGGTGGTAGAGCTCGTGGTACAGGTGCTTGTCGATCTTGCCGGAGGCACGGTAGCGGACGAGCAGGCGACGGAGAATACGCATGCGGCGCATCCAGAGGATCTGGCTTTAATCCGATATCCATCAGCACTCATCCATTTTATCATTTTCCTTCGCATATGGCATCTCGCTGATAGTCGTGGGCGACCGAGAAAATCCTTGCAATGGCACTCAAAGGGGTTGGACAACGAGCATACCTGGGCATACGAGCCTCCTTGGTACCCTTGCGCTTACCCAGACCACGGTGTCTGCCGATGCGGCGGGCGGCGGCGAGCTCACGGGCACGGGAGCGGGAGTGCATGGTGACGGGCTTGCGGATGATGAGGCCATCGCTGACGAGCTTGCGGATGGTCTGGCGGGAGTTGGCGTTGGAGATCTCATTCATCTCATTGGGGTCGAGCCAAATCTTGCGCTTGCCGCAGCCCACCACGGAGGCGGCGAGGCGCTTCTGGGTGCGAAGGTTGACCCTGTGTGGTGCAAAAAAAAAGCAGTCGGTCAGCATGAAGTCCAAACCGATCGGGGGGTTGCTGCTGCGTATGACACGAAAAAGTGCCATCTGGAGGCGAATCCGGGGCGTCTGAACGGGGGAAGAGGGGGAGGATATACAGTCCAGCGACGAACAGTATTTCCCCCCCTTGATGCAGCAAAAATCAAGAGCTGAAGATGGACTCACATCTTGATGTCGGCGTATCGACGGTCGTTGGCGGATGATGTTCGTTGCACTCGTCGACGGGTAGAATTCCCAGGGCGAGGAGTTTGAGATACGGCGGCTGATTAGCTAAGCGGTTGTGTCTGCTAAGCGAGACCAGCAAAACCCTCTGTTAGGGTTCGTGCCCCAGACGCTTGTCCCGATCCGGGGAACACCGCCGGGAGCCGCAACGGCGCATTACAGCATTTGGCTGGAGCAATGCTACAGATGCTGGGTTGTTTGGAACGTGATCTGGACTGGATTTACTATCTACATTGTTACTTTTTCCTGAAGGTTCAACTTCTCAGCGCACGACTCAATCTTCTATCCGTCGCTCGGCGGTGGACCAATTCGGGCAGATGCGCCATTCAGGCTGTTCCACGTGATCTCAAACTGTTGTACTTGTGTTGTATCAGTTACGTATGGATGACTGAGGCTGACATCAAATCCGACCATGGAAAATCTGCGGAAACTCAAAACAAATGCATTGCTCATCTCATAAAATGTATCAACATGCTTTTCTTTTCATCGTTGGAAGTTGGACACACAATATCACCCCAACTCTTTCACCCACATCAACAGAAGGGTATAGATAGTAGCAGATAAGAGAGCTAGTAGATCTAAATCATCTCAGTGTCTAGCCCACCTCGACACCACTTACTCATCCCCAAACGACCCATCCCCGAGATCAACCTTTCCAATGCTCCACAATTCCCTTTCATCCTCTACCTCATCATTGGACAATCCCAGCCCTCCTTGTCCACCTTCCGCTTCCTTGCGCTCGCGGGCCTGGGCGGCAAGACGGAGCGCGACACGCTTGAAGTAGTCCGACATGCTCCGCTTGGGTCCCGGTGGCAGCGCAGCTCCGGGTCCGTTCATGTACTTCTCGAACACTGCGCCTTCGGACTCCTCCACAGAGAAGATCGCCAGGAATGCTGCCTCAGCCGCCAGCTTGACAGGAATGACCACGTCGCGAACGCTGGCGAAGATAGGTGGCGCCAAGAGGGCCAGATGAGGCCGAGCCAACTCGGGGTGAAGCCGGCTGACCGTGCGCATCACCACCAGAGACAACCGCCGCGTATCAGACGGCGTACCGGGCTGAATGCAAGGCGCCAAGGCCTCGAAAATGGCCTTGTTGTCTTCGAAGTTGCGGTGTTCATCCTCGATCAGAAGGTACTTTCCGGCAGCGAGGACGCTGTTGTCGGAAATAAAGGGCTACTTAGGATTAGCATCACTTCTCGAAAAAGAACCCAAACATAAGTACTTACATCCTTGTTCGTGACACCCTGGCAGATCAGAGCCTGAGTCTCCGCGGAGAAGTGCTCCGTCAAGGACGACGGAGACTCAACCAGCAGGGCGTTGAGACCCAGAATCGATGCGTGAGAAGGTGTGGCCGTGAGGACCCGGTTCTTGATCAGCGGGCCAGCAGTGGCGGCCGGGAGGACCTTCACCAGTGCACCAAGCAACTTCGCGTTTGTAATAGCGACAGCATCCGTTTGGTCACTGGCATCGTCGTCAATAAGAGCGAGAATGGCGTTCTTCGACGCCTCGCTCATGTTAGCGCCGGCCTTGCCCACCACCTCTTGAAGTGCCTTCATCATTGCGTTTCTCACACCGACATCTTCCGTCTTGGTACCCGTGATAAGCTCCGCAATGAGAGGGTCAACACGGGGTGTCAGGGTGATCAGGATACCAAGACCCTTGGCGGCCCTGTTACGCAGAGTCTCGCTGGATGCATCAGCCAAACCACGCGCGAAGGTTCGTTGCAGCTGTGGCAAGAACGGCTTGACAGCGAGGGGTATCTTCTCCAGAAGCTTGTTGAGGGTCAAGAAGATAGCGCCTAGTGTAGTCGATTAGTATAATATAATTTTAAGTGAAATTATAGAAAGCAGCTTACATTTAATATCCACCGATCGCTCGGACACAACACGAATGAGGGGACCAGTGATCTGGGTCACGAACAGCTTCAGAGAGTCTGCGCCAGTGCGATCGATGATGTCGCCGATGGCGAGAGCTGCCTGCGTACGCTGCTCGACGCTGCCGTTCAGAAGACCTTGCAAGAAGATAGGCAGAATGGCTGTGATACCCTTGGGCAAGCTGAAGCCAGGAAGGTTGGCACCCGGAACTCCAACACTCCGCAAGGTCTGGCGAGTGGAAATGGTAAGGACTTCCATTTCTTCTTTGCGCAGATGCTTCGTGAGTCCACTGAGAGCCGTCCACGCGGCCTTGATGACATCCTTGTCTCTGTCATCGAAGGAGATGAGCAGGACACGGATTAGATCCTGGTGGTACCTGGAGTAGTCGATCTCCGCATTTGAGAAGAAATTGTTGAGATGAATAGCCGCGGTAGCACGACGATGATGGTCATCGTGCTTCATCAGAGTTATCATGACGTTCATCATGACATTCAAGCCATCGTACTCATCCACCGAAACCAGGATCGTGTCAAAGGCACTGCCAAGTTCTTCGCGGTGAGCCTCGTCCTTAGTAGACACAATCTCGTCCACCAAAGAGTTGAGGATTGTAGGCAGTTTGCGGGTCATGGCAGAGCCGGCGACTTCGGCCAGGGAAGCAAGAGCCTTAGCGTTGAAGGTGGAAATGGGAGACGTGAGGAGTGTCGGGATAAGGTTGGGGAGGATGATGTTCGCGCGGGTCTGCTCCGTGAGGAGAGTCAACAGTGCCGACAACGCCTGCTCTGCATCCTCGTTGTTTCTCAGAAGAAGCAAGAGATGAGGCAGGACCTGGTCCACTGCCTTCTTGCCCAAGATCTGTTGCAGGGCGTCGAAAGCCTCGGCTGCAGCCTCGCGGACATCCTCGTCATTGTCAACGAGGGCCACCCGAACAGTCGAGATAAGAACCTTCTCGTAATCCTCAAGGGCCTCGGCGGAGGCGGAAGTAATGAGTTCTCTCAAAGCAATGCAGATACCTTGCTTGACATCCACGTCGGGCGAAGTCTGGAGACCTTCCTCGAGAGAGGGAAGCAGAGCAGAGAGAACCGACTCGCCAGCCTTCTTGATAAGGTCTCCAAGCGCGTTGCTAGCAATGACCTTATGCTCCATGTTGGAGGAACCGAGACGGCGAATAATGAGTTGAGACAGAGTCGGAACCATATCCTTAAGCGTCTTAGGAGAAGCAACAAGTGACTTCCAGACAGCCATAGCAGCGGTCTTGACCATACCCGAAGTATCGCAGCGGCAGATGAACAGTGCCGACAAGACCTTGTCCCTTCTCTCCTCTCCAAGAACCTCCAGCAGCGACTGCCCAGCCTGAGCCGCTTCTTCCTCTTCCTCCTCTGCATCAGTCTTGGCTGTGATACCGGTGAGACTGAAAAGAAGATCGCCAACCAGCTCGACGGAGCTCAATCTGATGCGGTAATTGTCATCCGCAAGACCGCGCTCAAGCTCTGGCAGAAGGAGATCAATGGCCTTGGAGGAGAAGTTCTTGACAAGCAAGCGACCCGCCTTGAGAGAGGTCTCACGAATAGATTCGACGTCGTCAGCCAAACCGGCAAGGATAGGGGGAATGATTTTGCTGAGATAGGCGGCGAAACTGTTTCCGAAGCAGGCGGGAAGGAAGATAAAGAGCGTCATGAAACCTTCGCGAACAGAGGCCTTGGAACTGGACACATTCTGTAAGATAGTAGGCAGCGTCTCCTCGAGTCTGGTTGTACCCAGACCTGCCAGAACCTCCGAAAGAGCTTGAGCAGATCCCAGTCTGTCGCCGGCTCCGGTATCCGACTTGAGCGTAGACATAAGGTTGGGAATGAGGTCTGGAAGAGCGTCCTCTCCAAGCTTTTCGATAAGGGAACCGAGAGCCTTGGAAGCGGTCGCACGAGTAGTCGGCACAGGGTCGACAATAGCCAGTTGCAAGCCGGAAACAATGATTGGCAGATGGGATGTGAGGTCCTTGCGCTCTGTAAGGTGAGCCAAGCTGCCAATGATCTGGGCAGATTTACGTTTCGTGTTCGACCTGTCGCCAAGACCACGCTCAAGAATGCGAACAACAAGAGCCAAGGACGGCGCATCCAGATAGTGGACGAAGGACACCTTGATGAGGGCATCCAGGGCCTCATCGGTGTACTTGGTGGGGTCGCTGAGCGCCTTCAGAAGTACATTGACCAAGCTCTTGACTTCAGGGTTGCTGATGACTTCACCGAATCGCTGAAGACTGCGGTTTGCAGCATTGCGCACTTCTTTGTGGGTATCATTGAGGACCACAGTGAGCGGAGGGATGATGTCCGGAAGGCTTGCGGCGAGTTGCTGGGGATCAAGGTAGGCCATCGCTCCCAGGAGATCACAGGCTCCCTTCTGACTGCGCCATTGTGTGTCATCAAGACCATCGAGAAGGGTGGGAAGGATTTGCTTGACACCATACGAGCTGAGATTCGAGAAGCAAGCCTTTGCTGCATCAAGGCAGGCAGCACGGACGTCAGGGTTGACATCACCGAAACCGGCCAGAAGCTGGGGAACAATCTGGATAACATATGGCTCGAAGGTCCGTCCCAAGATGGCGGCAAACAGCTCATATGCCAACAGTGCACCTTGTCTCTGATGGGGTTCCTTCTTGTTCTCAGTGGCATCACGCAGATGGGACATGACTTGGAACTCTCGTAGGGTGACCACACCCCTACCACTGACGATACCAGCAAGTCCATAAGCCGCGCCACGCTGTGTAGCATATTTCTTGGACTGCAGCAGCTGATCCAGCATTTCTTGGACGTACTCACCACTCTGAGGGCGCGAGAGGCGGATCAGAGGCGGCAGACATCCCGAAACGGCAGACTGCACACTTTCCGAAGGAGTAGGGAGAGTATCCAGTAGTCTCTTGATGACTGTCTGCAGACGCGGATCGTCCGCTTTGAGATGCTGGGCCAAGGATCCATACAAGACAACAACAGCCTCGTTCAGAAGATCAGAGGTCTCACTTCCTTTGTCGGAGGTCTCCAAAGTTGTCTCCAAGAGCTTCATCAATTCCTCGACCTTCTGTTGCCCACGGGCAGCAATGACAGATCTGCCACTCTCGGCCATCTGTGCGCGGACGGCGGGACTCTTGTCGATAAGAGGACCTCTTTCAATCAAGAACCGGAGGAAGGAGACGATCTGCTCGCCTTCAAAAAGATTTGTCATAGCTCCAAAAGTGAGGGCGATACCGCTGCGTAGCTCCCAATGGTCCGTGACATCCATCTTCTTGGGCATACCGTAGCTATCTTTCTCGGGCACCTTAGGCTGAATCTCAATCGTGTATTTGGACTGCAATTCGGAAATGATCTGGTCAAACATCGAAGGGTTCACCTCAACGGCATGAGCCAACGCGCGAGCGCCAGCACCACGAAGCTGTGCATCTTTTGAGGAGAGGTAGGGGATGATCTTCGCATAAGAGGACTCGTCGACTTCCAGGGCGTTTTCTTCCCAAATGTTCTCGGCAATCTCAGCATTCTCCTCCACGTGGTCATGGCATTCTAGCCAGATGTGTTCAGAGAAGTCGAGGTCCGTCAGGTCAATCTCAGCTTCAATGACCTGCAACACCGAGGTACGTACAGACACATCCGTAACAATTGTGCCCTTGAGAAGAACGTCCAGCTCATCCTTGGTGATATTGGGGGAGATGCACCTGCAAACATCGAACAGGGTATCCTTGATAAGCTTGTAGTGTTGAGTGTACTTCTGCATCGATGCAAGCAAGATCTTCAGGACTTCAACACGAGGAAGACGTTCGTCGGCAACTAATTAACCATGTATTAGCCTTGAGACACATTCCTTCAATTGTTGGGTAACTCACAAGAGCCCGAATGGAAGGACAAGACTTCCAAGGCAAGGAGGACTTGCTCGCCCTCTTCGTCCCCTTTTTGTTCATCGACTCCGTTCTTGCTGAGTACCAAGAAGATCAAGGGTAGAACGTAGGCCAGAGATGTGCTCTCGAAAGGACGTTGCTCGGAAGCAAAACGCAAGCGATAGAGGATTCTCGTCACGAGCTCTGCCGATCAGTTAGTGTAAGCTTCCCACATAGCCAGAACATCAAAATAACATACGTCCAAGTGCCTCTGCTTCCATTTGCGGAGGCAGATAGCTCTTGCCAATGGCTCGAAGCGTTGCAATACCCACGAAAGGCCGCAACGGCCCGAGACGTGAGGACAACTTCTCAGCACACTTGACGTACGCTTTGGATACAACATCACCAGCGTACAGGCCCGCACCGGCTTCGGTCAAAGAGAGCAAGGAGCTCACGGCAGGGTTGATCCAGCCGTCCGCGTCGATGGCAGGCCCGTCCGCGAGACCCTGGATGATTCCACATCCCCTTTCGATCTTCTTGATCACCTGGAGGACTTCCTCGCGGATCTTGGACTCCTTGGCAAGTTGGGCCTTGACCTTGGACTGCTCTTCCGCAGTAAGCTTCTTCTGCTTCTGGCCCTTCTTATCAGCCAACTGTGACCGTAGTTCCTCCTCCCACTTCAGGATGTCGTAGTCTTTAGTGTTCTTATCAAAGTTCGACTGCTTCGACTTCGTGCTGAGCACGTCGACGAACATGGTTCCCTCTGGTGTACGGGCGATAGCGACATCGGTTGCCGTGAATTGGGACAGCCGCGAAGTATCTAGGTCGTCTTGGATCTGGCCAACCAGTCGGGGAACCATAGCATCAGGTGCTACGAATGCCAACTCACCCGCAGCACTCCAGATTGCGGCATCGATTTGGGGGATCTTCGACTGAATAGGGTCCTGAGAAAGTATTAGTTCTGGACTTTCTGAGTTGCGTTTGAGAAGTATAGGCACACGACATACCTCATGCAGACGAGTCAGCTGCTCCATGCACTTTTCGGGAAATTCGCGCACAAGGTTACCGGGGTCAATGCCGGTCCTTAAGCAAGACGAAATCCAGGATGCGTTGGGAATAAGCTCGGGACGACACAGGATCAGCAGCTCAACGAGTTGGTCTTTCAGAGAAGCTGTGACGTGGTCTACTTCCTGCACACTAGAAGCAGGAGGGCACAGAGCCTTTACAACGAGATGGAGAAACCTTTCGCTTTCTGGTCCTGCAGAGACCGAGGCAGATTCTTTCTCGCCAGTTCTAAAGGAAAGTATCCAGGACCACAGAGCACTTGTAACCGTCCGGCCCATACCTGCCACATCCTTCAAATGAATCTCTGACAACGTCCGAGCAGCTCCATCCCGGAAACTGGTGTGAAGACCAGGGGCGGCGATATTATAGATGAATGCCTGGGCCCACGCGGTCTTGGCTGCATCCTCAGCCTTTTCGAACTTCGAACCGGTAGTGACCGCAGCAAGTGCGCGCACGGCCCACTGAATTTCGGTTTGGGTGACCAACTTTGAGTAGGCCTTAGGATTCAGGAGGAAAGACGGCTTCGGGCTGAACACCATTGACTGAGCTACGGTTTCCTCCCATGCAGACTTGTCGAAGCTCTGCAGTGAGGAAGAGCGATCCAGAAGGGCCAGGTACACATAGGCAGTTGACAGAGAGCCACCCTGAGCAGAGGGAAGAGGGTTGGCGACAACCTCATTGTACAGCTCTTTCATCTTGCTGAGAAATTTGTTCACAAGCGGCTCGACGTCAGTGCTTGCCAGCGTCGCAGGTTCGGCTTGCCACATGATCTCTCCGACATTGAGCTGCCAGAGCTTTTTGAACGGAACACGCTTATCGGAAGATCCTTTCACAATGGCGTTGATGACGTCGTCGCTGACCTTCACCTGAGTCTGGACAAGGAAAGCCAGGTGCTTGCAGAATGATTTGATTTCCTGTTCCAGAGCGGCCTCGTTGGATTCCCTGGAGAAAACAGGAACAAAGCCTTGTACCACGTCCTTCGAAAGATCGGCCGAAGGCAATATCGCAGCGACGGCTTGAGCGTACACAGCACGCTGTTCCGGATTGGTGATCTTCTGGGTCTTCAGAGGACCGACGACTTCGCTCGTGATCTTCGTGAGCAAGGCCTGATCCTTGGATTTTGCGAGCAGGGACTCGAATGAGCGAACGGCACCCTGTCTAATGGCTGGATTGTTCGACTTCATGCTTGACAACAGGTGCTTCAACAGCCGCGAATGCAAAAGCTCGGACATATCGATCTCCTCCGGCAAAGAAGCGCACAGCGAAGGCAACAAACCATTGAACACGACCTCGGGAGAGCGCAACATGGCCTTTTCGAAGGGTCGGATCAACTCGGTAGTGAGGTCATCGTAACTAAGGAAAGAGACGAAAAAGTCGCCCAATGCATCGGCGATGTGAGCCGGAGGCGCGGATCTCGCGCCAGCCAATTCCTTGACGTAGAATGAAAGGATTGCCTTCTTCTCCCCTTCCAAGATTGGCTTTTTGGCGGGAAGACGCGCGCAGACGCCGGAGATGACGCCCAGGAAAGGTGCGTTCTTCTGGCCAGTAGCCGAGTCGCTGGTCAACCGGCGGACGGATTCACGAACAGCATCCTCACCCCAAGCAGTGGAGGAAAATGCAGCGCGTAGAGCACGTCTCGTAACCCGGAGGGCAGAAGCCTTCACTGCTGGTCTCGGGTTGGAGGCCAGACAGATTTCCAGGGCCTTTGCATCGACCGCAATGGTATCCAGAACGGCAGAAAGAGGGGTCTCGGAGTCTCCTCCCAGGATCTGAAGCACCACCGAGCACCATTCCAACAATACAAGGGCTGGACCAGGCGCCAGGCCAGGTTTAGCAGCCTCAACCTGCAATTTCTGGGTGAGGTATTTCAGGTCGTCGGTCGGGACGGGTGCCTTGAGAAGCGAGCGGAGACATTGCTGAACGGCCTGCCGCGAGGGACGATCGACGTAGCGAGGGTAAGTCTTAAAGAGAAGGCCAATTATAGGCTGGTAGGTTTGAGGTTGTAAGCTAGATCCTGTTTGGTGGATAGATGGTGAGCACAAGAGCACGAGAGTATCACATTGGAAAGTGAGAGGCAGCACAGAGAGAGAGGGGCTTTGGACAGGCAGAGATTCTTCACGCACCGATTCTGTCACGGAGGTCCTGGAGAGCGCGAGTTCTGCGAGCAGTCGAACTGGAGAAGAGAACGACCTGCAGACTCCCCAGGTCCCCTGATTCCACCTGATCCCATGGAAAATCGTCCATGATAGTCTAGGTGGCCTGAAGCATGCCCGGCGTGAGGAGCAATGGGCACGAATGGGGCCGCGGATGTTGTCATAAAAGTTTTGCGGCGTTGTGGGGGAAGCTCCGCCGCCTTGCCTTCTTGCTGGGAGTCTTGTCTTTGGAGGACCCGCCAGTCTCTCCTCCATGACGAAGTATCTCGCCAATTTCTTCCATCATCAACTTAACTCAACTCTTGCCGTTTTGCTCACTCTTTCCCTGAAGATTTCACTAATGATCATAGACATCGTCTTTCTCACTTTCCATCGTTAGAGACTTCTCCTTGTCCGCCCCGGCGGGAAACCTTGCAGCCCGCCTTCCCCTCCTTCGATCTCACCACCATGCCACCTAACAACAGGAAAAAGAAGAAGCCCGCCTCCAATCCCGCTCGAGGATTTGCCACGGTTTCCGTGCCATCTAAACCCAAGCCTACTGAATCCTCAACCCCAGTCTCCACAGCAGACTCAAAGTCCGTGTCCGTATCCGAAAGCGATCGTCCAACGCCCGTCGAGGGAAAGCAACCTGCAGTAGACTCCAAAAACGAAGCCCCCTCATTACAGAACTATACTCCCGAGGAACTCGAGAAACACTTGGAGGAAGCTGAACTTCAGCTCTTGGTTGAGAAATATGCTTCCAAGTGCAGAAATGATGCCGCCCGGCAAGTCACCAAATTGGAGACCGAACGCAGAGTATTCCGGCAACAAGCTGTCTCTATAAACCTGCTGGAGTGGTTCCCCACTGAGGTTCTGCAGAATATCATGCACCTGGTCGAAACGGAGGAGCGAGAGCTCAGCCCGCTACCTGGACGGGATTCGGGAGGCCAGAAGAAAACTGTCTCGGAGGAGGAACTATATATGAGACTCTGGACATTGAAGGAAACCCTGCTTAAACTCGGCTTCCCGGAGGAGAAAGTAAACGAGGCTCTGAAGCATATGCTTCTCTACTTTTCTGGTAATTTTGCCACATCCAATAGGGAGGTGGTTTGCAACCTGGATGAGGCCCTAGACTGGCTCGCCTTGCATTGCACCCCCAAGGAGTTGCCTTCTTACATGCAGACAAATGCGCAGCAGCGCAATGAGTTGGATAGACATATCTCTTGGATAAATGGTAATCTTAGATGCCTGGTATCCCGTAAGGATTGGATGGCTAACCTGACTGACATCAGATCGTGAGCCATCACAATCCTCCACCCCGAATCTGGGCCCAGATAATAGCAAAGTGAAAAAGCCCAAAAGCCCTGTAAAGGAGCCGAGCCCTACCCTTCAGTCGAGTCCCTACGACTCGGACAGCTCCCTTGACCCTGACACACTCATCCCAAAGTATCTGGACTTGCAGACTCGTCTGTATGGCCTGCGACCGGAGCTGTTCGACCAACCCAAGAAGGGCAAGAAGGGAGGCCGTAAGCCTGCTGAAGCCGAGCAAGACCCTCAGATTGCGAGGTTGCAACGCAAAATTACCAGCATTGAAAATGATGTGCTGTTTGACCAGCATGAGGCCGAATACAAGTGGAGAGAGAAACTCGACGATCTGCGCAAAGAGGCGGCTTTTGTCCGGCGCTCACAGCCCGAAGAGAAGCCTGTTTCAGAAGAAGCTGAAGATGCAGAGCAATCGGAGGAAACGAAAGTGACACCGGAGAACGGCGCACAGCCGCTTGACAATGAAGAGGCTACGGATTTGTTAGGGGACATGTTCCAAGATGAGGAGCCTGTCCTGGAGCTCGGTGTGATAACAGAAGAGTTACAAAAGGCTTCTGTTAAGATGCGCGATTTCGGGAAATGGACTGGACTTAGCCCCCGACGAGTGCTAGAAGAAACATGCAAAGCAAGGTATGTCTCGCAGAGGAGCTGGAGATGAACGGCGACTAAGTCATCTGGGCAGGGATACGGGTTGCAAGATCACGTTCAAGGATATGTCTGCTTCGTCGCATTCGAATAGACAAGCTCTTGAAGTAAGATGGTCCAAACCTCAGGAGGTTCCCTTCCCTTTTGCCTGGGACACTACCACGCATAACTCGAACGCTTACGCGACATTCGTCTCGATGGACTCGGTGGCAACTCCAAACTCCCAGCAAGCGGAATCCTTCGTTTCGACTCTTGCTCTTTTCATCCTATTCTCACAGAACTCCAAAGAAGGCAAAGCATACCTGCGCCTTCCAGCGGTGTGGCGAGAGCTTTGGACAGAGTTTGCGAATGCGAAGAAGTTGCAGGAAGACGAAGCTGACAAGCAGACCGTCAAGGATCTGAAGAAACTTATTCAGGACAACCATGGGGCGTTTGAAGATGATGTTGTCTTGTCACATAATTTCCGGAAGCGAAACGGAACTTCTAGCAAGCCGGAATCTCCGGTACGGGGAGCCAGCGTAAAGGACAGCTCTGAGCCTGACGAGGAGTTGACTCGGATCTGGACAGAAAAGTCGTCTACGGCCTCATTCCAATACATGGCTCAGGGAAGGATGAACCTGCCCATCTGGAATTTCCGCGACGAGATTCTCAATACTCTTGACACACATCGTGCACTTATCATCTGCAGTGAAACAGGAAGCGGTAAAAGTACGCAGATACCTTCGTTTATCTTGGAGCATGAAATGAAGCAAGGCCGACCGTGCAAGATCTACGTGACCGAGCCTCGCAGGATCTCCGCTATCTCCCTTGCCCGAAGAGTGAGCGAAGAACTAGGCGAGAATAAGAACGATGTGGGAACGGCGCGCTCGCTCATTGGCTTTGCTGTCCGACTGGAAAGCAAAGTCAGCCAAGCTACGAGACTTGTGTTCGCGTATGTTCTTGCCTCTGTGAATTTGAGAACCAGCTGACCCTGGCAGGACTACCGGAGTGGTGGTGCGAATGCTTGAGCGCCCTGAAGATTTCCGCGATATCACCCATGTCGTTCTCGATGAGGTCCACGAACGTTCGATTGATAGCGACTTCCTCCTCATCGTTCTTAGGCGGTTGATGCAAAAGAGGCCCGACCTGAAGCTAATCCTCATGTCGGCCACACTCGAGGCCCAGCGCTTCTCCACTTATCTTGGCGGTGTTCCTGTACTGAACATCCCCGGTCGGACTTTCCCTGTGGAGATGAAGTTCCTAGAGGATGCGATCGAAATGACCAACTACCGGTTGCTGGAGAATGAATCCAATACGGTCGAAGAGGAGACGGATGAATTGGCGCTGGAGACGGCACAGGGTGACACTGCCGGCGGCCTGATGGCTTCGCTTGATGGATATTCTAAGCAAACCAAAGAGACCGTGGCAAACTTTGACGAATATCGCCTGGATTACCAGCTGATCAAGCGGCTGGTTGTGCAGATCGCCTCGTCGCCTGACATGACACACTACAGCAAAGCCATCCTTATCTTCATGCCCGGTAGGCGGAGATTCGCCGACTAAACGATGAGATCCTGTCGGATCCGACTTTCCAGCAGGGATGGATTGTGCATGCGCTGCACTCATCTATCGCCAGCGAAGATCAGGAGAAAGCTTTCGTGGTTCCTCCTGAAGGTATGAGAAAGATTGTGATTGCCACCAATATCGCAGAGACAGGTATCACCATCCCGGATATCACTGCGGTGATTGATGCGGGTAAAGAAAAGAGCATGAGGTTAGAATGAGAGGACCTGGCTGAGTAATAAAGTAGCTAACTTTGCCCAGGTTCGATGAACGCCGTCAGCTATCTAGGCTCGTCGAGACATTTATTTCGCGCGCCAATGCGAAGCAACGACGTGGACGAGCCGGACGTGTGCAGAATGGTATCTGCTTCCACCTGTTTACGAAGCATCGCCACGATAAGCTAGTATGTGTAGCAACCATGGCTGCAGCATTCAATACTGACCAGTTGTAGCTCGCAGAACAGCAGACGCCTGAGATGCTCCGGTTGTCTCTCCAAGATCTTGTGCTGCGTGTCAAGATCTGCAAACTGGGTGAAGTAGAACCGACGCTGCTGGAGGCGCTCGATCCGCCGTCGTCCAAGAACATCCGCCGGGCGATCGACTCGCTGAAGGAGGTGAAAGCCCTGACGAACGCAGAGAATTTAACGCCTCTGGGTCTGCAGCTGGCCAAGTTGCCGCTGGACGTTTTCCTTGGCAAGTTAATTATCCACGGCGCCTTCTTCCGCTGTTTGGATGCGGCCGTCAGCATCGCCGCCATCCTGTCCTCCAAGTCGCCATTCGTGAACACGATGGGCTCCAACACACAGAAGGACCTGGCTCGACTATCTTTCCGCAAGGGTGGGTACTTTCCATCACAGCGATTACTTGCCACTAACAATATATAGGTGATTCGGATCTGCTAACGGTATACAACGCCTATTGCGCGTGGAAGCGTGCCCGCAACACTCCAGGCGTGAGCGAATACGCCTTTTGCCGCAAGAACTTCCTCAGCTCGCAAACACTGCTCAATATCGAGGACATTAAAATGCAGCTGATCGTATCGATCGCTGACACAGGTCTATTAACCTTGGACCCATCCCAGAAAGCGCTGCTCAACCGGTACACCCTCCTCCCCTCCTCCCTACCAAAACTACTACTAACAAGTCTCAAAAATAAAGCTCCCGATCCAACAACCGGCGCAACTTCTTCACCATCCCCGAAGAATACGACTTCAACAGCGCCAACGACACAGTCGTCAACTCCGTCATCGCCTGGAGTTTCTACCCGAAACTGCTCACCCGCGACGGGAAAGGCTGGCGCAACGTCGCCAACAACCAATCCGTCACGCTGCATCCGACCTCCGTGAACAAGCAAGCCGACGCATCGGCCATAAAATGGGTGTCCTATTACCATATCATGCAAGGACGGAATAAGAACTATAATGCGTTTGAAACAACTGCTGTGGATGACTTTGCTATTGCGTTGTTGTGCGGAGAGGCTGAGTTTAAAGTACGCTGCCTCCTTTCCCCCTTACACATACACCACTACCCACCCACCTATGATCAATGCTAATGATATGAATTTATAGATGTACTCCGGAGTCATATCCATCGACTCCAACCGCATCCGATTCTCCCTGCGAGATTGGAAATCCATGCTCGCGCTGAAGACGCTGAGCGCGAGACTGCGCGAGATCCTACAGAATACGTTCCGTGAGCCGCATCGCGTGCCGTCGTATAAACAGCAGCAGTGGTTGGGTCTGTGGCAGGTGATTTTCGCTCAGGCGAGGAAGTAGTTCGCCTGTCCCTGGTTACTTGTCTATGTTTATTATGATTGGGTTCGGATTGCTTGGTTGGTATGTATGTATGATGTGTGCATTGGGTTTAGCCTTCTGGAAGATGCTTTTTTGCTTGCTCTGGACTAGACTAGGATTGGGCAATTGGGATTGAATTAGGTTTCTGGTTGGATTGGATTGAATTGAATTGGGTCGGGTCTGTATGGATGACTGAAATGCGTGTATGTATGTATAAAGGACTGGGTGATGAAAGAAGAAAAAGGCGGATGAAGCTGAATGTATATGATATGAACTCGATAGATGGATATATCTCATGAAACTCCGACACATAAATTAACAGAACTTGTTCATGGAAATGATCATCAATAAAAGAACAAGAAGAAGATTCTAACCCCAGACATCCTCCTGCCACTTCCCCCTCTTCTTCAACCCCTTACACCACTCGTTCCACTGTCCATCACCTTCATCCCACCCCTTCACCCTACACATCTCCCCCCCAACCCTCTTCTCAACCTCTCTAGCCATCCCCGCCCTTCCACAAATATACAAGTTCGCCCTTTCCTCCACCAACAATCTAACCACCTCATCCCCACACTCGACAATCTTATCCTGTACATACTGCCTCTTCATTCCCTCGTTCTCATACCTCGAAAACGCCGTCTCAATGCGCAACTTCCCTCCCAGCCCCTCCTGCAACGCATCCAGTTCCTCCTTATAGATATAATCCTCGTCCGGGCGCCGACACCCGAAGAAGAGGATCATCTGTCCCACTTCGCGGCCGATCTGCTGCAACTGGCGGCGCTCGGAGATGAATGCTCGGAACGGGGCCAGGCCCGTGCCCGCGGCGATCATGATGAGGGGTATGTTTCCGGTGCGGGGCAGTTTGAATTTACTTTTGCGGAGGTGGGTGAAGACCTTCTCGCTGTTGAGGGCGTTACTGGGCCCGTTGAGGTGGTAGGTTAGGCCGTAAGGGTGGGGGGTTGATGGGGATGAGCGGTGCTGGGATAATGCGAGGAGGTAGTTGGAGGTGATGCCGTGGATGAGTTCGTCCGGGTTCTCGGGGACTGGCGTGGTGGAGACGATGGCGGTGATGGAAGGTTTGCGGGGCGAGAGCACGCTGCTGGAGGAGATGGAGTAGTATCGAGGTTGGATGGGGGCGAGGGTTTCGACCAGGTAGGATAGGGGTAGGGCGGACCAGGCATTGTCTGGGGAGGCGAGTTGGAGGAGACGACTGAGGGTGACATGGGTGCAGTTGAGGAAGTTGGCGTAGCTGGTCTTGTCCTGGCCTAGTTGAAGGAGGTATGTCTTTGCTTCCGGGGTGGGTGCGAATTGTGCTAGACCTAGTACCGTGTCGCGGTTCACGGGAGCACAGATCTCCAGGTAGTAGCGGAAGAGGGCTGCCGCGGTCGTGGGCGTTGGGATGCGCACTTTCGTGGCCGGGTCCAGAGATTTGATGGAGATGGGCACCTCGCGGCGTGCAGTAAGGCCCAACACCTGGAGGAGACGCTCGACCTCTGCGTCGGGGTTGCTGGGCCAGATGGCGAGGTGATCACCCGTCTTGTAGGTGAACTCGGGGACGCTGGACAGGTCCATCTCCATGTGCAAGCAGTGGCGGTCTGAGACCTGGAAGAGCTCACGGGTACTGGAGATAGTCACTGGCCGCACAGGGGAGCATTGTGCAGATGCCCTACTAGCATCACGGGCATCTGGCTCGCCGTGGTTCAGATCAATAGGCTCCAGGGACTCATCTTCCTCGACGGATAGGGTGGGCAGGTACTGCATCTCACCCTCCTCGAAGCCGAGCTGGGACTTGAACATGGCAAACAGCTCGTCTTTCCAGCTAATAAAGTCCTCCTGCGTGGCGCCCTCGGCGTCATTAGCCCTACCAACGGGCATGAGAGCCTTTGCGCCTCGACCATCCAGCGCCTGAACGACCACATCCACGACGCGGTTGTAGAACTTGTAATTGCTATTCCCCAGACCAAACGCACAATACCTCACATTGGCCAGGGAGACATTCTCGGCCTTGTGAATCCAGTCCCAGAACTCAGCCGTGTTATCACTGGGGTCTCCCTCGCCATACGTAGACAGGATAAAAATCGCCAGCTTGGACTGAGGAATCTGGGCGATACTCTCCGGATCATAATCTGATAGATCAGCAGTCAGAGTACCCTGGCGGAAGCGGAGGGCGATCTCGCGCGCCAATCGATGGGCAAAGCCCTCGGATGTACCGGACTGTGATCCCCAGAAGACGACGATATTCTTGTCCGCCTCTTCGAGCTTCTGGGCAATGTTGCGGGTCTCTTGGTGGGCATTGGGACCGGCGGAACCGGCCATCTTCAGCTGGGGACGCTCATACCAGAGATAGTTATAGGGATCTGGTTGGTCCCAAAGGATGCCGCGTGACAGGTAGGTTGTGCCCGCCATGGCGAGGAGAGTCAGGGCGGCATAGTCGGCAACTCCAGTGGGAGTGAGGGCTTTGGTCAGCTCCTGCCAGAGGGCTGGCGATAGCTGCCATGGAGGCAGAGGGGAGGTCATAATGATGAGGATTAGGATGAGGTGCACTGAGCAGAACCAGTCAGTCCGTCAGTCAATCAGTCACTCTGTAGTCTGGAGATCAGTAGAAGAAGAAGAAAGAGCAGCTGCTGGATCTATAAATCGATCCATGAGAGGCCATGACACCATGATTTCCGATGAGTGAGTGAATTGGCGCCAATGACCGACACAGTGGAGGTAGCAGGGGCGGCGCAAGGACACGAGGCACGAGAGAAGCAGCAACCCGAGCAAGAAAGCAGACCCAGACGCAGATGCAGAAACAGAAGTAGAAAGAGAAATCACCGGTGCAGAATTCGGGGATGCCAAAGAAGAGAACAGGGAGAAAGAAGCGGCAATGTTCCCCGAGGGGAAAATTACCCCATTTGGGACAGGCGGCATCTTTTTCCATTTCGTCGTCAAATCCACACCAAGATTCTTGTAGTCTCTGCATGTCTTGGAATCTGGTTGTGCATTCTTTCGCCTCATCCATTGTCCAATCCCTCCAGCTCCAGTTTATCTCTACTCCCTCCGCTTTAACCCACTTTGACCTCCATCTCGGCCCCGACATACCCGATCTAGCTTCTTTTCCCCGCGTCCCTGTACTTTTCTTTCCCCCGCACTTTGCTTCCACTTCCTACCCCAGCTCGGCATTCGGGGCGTTATATCCCTTTCCCCTTTTCGACTGACTATACTGAGCTGAAAGGGATAGCTAGTATACTGCATAGCCTCCCCACAGAACGGACGCATCAGCCTCGCTCCGATGATCCCGGACCAGTCTGGCCGAACACGTTGGGGTCCCATGACGATCCCTCGTGAGACTATTTCTACGTAGCTAGACAGTTGAGATGTATGGCTAGCTCATTGTGTGTCTACCAAGGAAACCACTGAAACTACTGAAGCTACTGGGAGCTACGGACTATTCCATCCAACACCAAGGAATTAGTGCAATGTCGCTACCAATGTTTTCATCATTCATCACGAAGAAGAGAAGAAGAAGAAGAAGAAGAAAAAGTCTAGCCAGTCTAGGAACGAGAATATGAACAAAATAACCCCCTAATCGGTGGCCGGCACCTGCCGTCGCCACACCTTCACCGGCATATCTCCCAGAATCAAGTTCATCGTCTCCAGTCGCTTCAGCTCCCACCCGGGGTACGGCAGCGCAAACTCATACCGATGCACCAACGTCGCCAGGATCTTCGTCTGCTCCAAGTACGAGATGTTCCGCCCGATACAAGACCGTGCCCCCGCCGAGAACGCCACAAAGTACGGCTGCAGCGCTTTCCCTTCTTCTCCCAACCACCGCTCCGGGATGTACTGGTCCGCCTTGGGGAAGGCCCGCTCGTCGCGGTGCGCAACATACGCCGACATGCTGACCGTTGTCTTTCCCGGCACCCACTGGCCCAGGATCTCCATTCCCTCTTCCGGCGTCTCGCGCGGGAGCCCGTGCGACGTTGGCGGAAAGATCCGGAGCGATTCGTCCAGACACGCCCGGAGATACGGCAAGTGCTTCACCTTGTCGTATGGCGCAACGACCTCGTCCGCGTCCAGAACTGCGTCGATCTCTTCCCGGAGCTTAGCCAGGCACTCCGGATTCCGCAGCAGCTGGTACATCACGTTGGCGATCGCGATCGCCGTTGTCACGCTGCCTGCGTTCATCATGATGTTCACTTCCGACACCACGTCGCCCCATTCCAGGTTGTTGGCCCGTCCGTTCTTATCCTCCATCAATGCCTGGAAGAAGTCATCGAGCTTCTCTCCAGCCTCGTACCGTCGCAGGCGCTCGATGCTGCGCCGCCACACAATATTGTCCCAGTTGTCTGAGGACTTTTGCATCCGTCCGAAGAACGGGATCACGTTAACCAGCTTGTTCAGCACCGGATACCATTCGTAGTTCCAGAGAATAAGCGACTGCTTCCGGGCCGTAGGGTACAGCGCCTCTCGGAGGTGCACCGTGTACGTCGACCCATCCTTCCGCTCGGCTATACAGACATCGCTGCCCTGGTCCAAGAAGCCCAGCTTCTCCGACAGGCCGATATCTGCGATTGCATCCAGCGTGAAGTAGTTGGTCCAGGCGCGAAAATCCACCGTCAGATCCTTGGGGTCCGGCGCAACCTTGCCGGACGCCACAGCCGCAGACGGAGCGGCCGTGCACACCTTGTCAAAGTGGGCCACTACCTTCTCGACCTTGTCGCTGACCTTGTGCTCCCACGTCTCAAGGTTCTTGAGAGCGTAGGCGGATGACAGGACCTTACGCTTCCGCGCATGGTCCCCCTTATCCACCACATCAGCTAAGTGATAATGCGTGCCTGCCGTGACCACGTAGGATGGGTCCTTGATGCACTTGGTGTTATGGCCGTAGATGTCCTTAATCGCGCGCACATCGCCATAGGACAGCGTATTGGGTCCGGTACGAATCACCGGCTTCTCCTGGTGCAGCTCCTGCAGTTCTCGCGACCGGAACCCGCGGGAAGCCATGAGCATGAACGGTATAGCAGACATCCCGGAGATTGGTGTAAGGTTGGGGTATTTTCGGAGACCTGAGACACTCGTTAGTTAACATATGGGCTCCATAGATAACCTGCCATATATACGAGTATGAACATACCTTTGGGGTCTCTGATATACTGCACAAATGGCCATACCAGGAAGTAGGAGATGCCCACGATCCCGATAAAGAACGCGTAAGGGGCGATTGTGAAAAGTGACCACATGGTTGCTCCTTAAGGACGTCACGATAAAACCGTGCAAGAGAAACACAGTAGATCAATAAATTAAAGGTCAAAATGACGAACGAGGTTCAGATATCAAAGGTTCCTTGCCCCTACCAGCAAGCTCTCTAGTCCGGAGAGCAGCTACTTATAGCCTCAGGTAAACCAGGAGGAGAAGGGAATAAATGGTTAAACTAACCCATCCTCGTGAACCGCAGATACCGACCTTCCAAGCATCCCATCATGTTCACAACATCGTAAGTCCCTGGCTGTGTGTAACTACTGCCATGTCATTCTAGCATGATGCCGGGCAAAACTGCCATTCAGGGCCATCCAGCCAGGGCGGAGAGAATTTCCTGTTTGTGACCCGCCACCACCGACAGAGTAAAAACCCTCGCGCGTTTGCCGGTCGAATTGCGATGGAAACAATTCGCGAGAGATCAGCTAGACCCACCAGATTCTGACAGGAGCCCCATATCCCGGCTATTGTGCAAGTGATTCCCCGGTACTTATCGTCATATTAGCGGGGTTGACGGTGTTTGAGGACATCCCCGAGATGTGCAGATCAGCCAATGGAGACACGCAGATATCCGGGTCCAAGCAAGTCTGGGGTAACCTGGGGGATATGGCTGTCATCATAAACAGACCCATGGAACCGTGCCGAACCTTGAGGCAATACCCGGGCATTCCATACCCCCCTCTTCGAGTCCTGTAGTTGGCCATGAGAATGAGGGGGCAGGCATGTACCCCCCTCTTCGAATGTGGGTGATGGCCATGGGGTCAATTCTCGGCAATAGTCTTTCTTATTGCATATATGCCCGCTGTCATCGTAGATAATCCTCCTACTCAGTCTTTAGCCACGTCGGCCGGGCTTCTGTGGTCATTGCACGGGTGTAATCTAATTAACACTTCATCCATAAGCTGTATCTCCTTAGCATACCGATTCATTGTTTAGACTTTGGTTGTTTCCCATAGCCCTAATCCAGACCATCATGGATCCTGCAGACGACTATGTGCCGGCCATCGACGATCTGAAACCAGAGACTTTCCACGTTGACAACCTTGGTGCCGCGGAGGGCTTGGACGATTCAATCGAGACGACAAATCCTGGCAAGGCAGTATGGCTGATTGCGTGCACGGTGTCCATGGGCGGGTTTCTCTTTGGTAGGCATGCCCCAGACCGTTAGCGTTTCGTGGCCCATCATAGCCAGTACCAGCTAACATGGTTCTTTCCCCTCACTCGTCCAGGGTACGACACGGGTGTAATATCCGCCGTCCTCGTCAGCCTTGGGACCGACCTCGGCCAGGCTCTGTCCTCTAACGACCAGGAACTTGTCACCTCCATAACTTCAGGGGGTGCATTGATCGGCGCCGTTCTGGCTGGTATGACTTCAGACAAGTATGGACGGAAACTGGCTATTTATATTGGTTGTGCGGTATTCTTCGTGGGAACAGCCTTGCAAGCCACGGCGTTCTCGCTGGCCCAGATGGTGGTTGGTCGCCTGGTGGTTGGTTTTGGAGTTGGTGAAGCGGCAATGATCGTTCCTCTGTATATCGGAGAGATGGCACCTGCCAGATTCCGTGGTCGACTGATTGTGTTCGATAACATTTGTGTGACCTTTGGCCAGCTTATTGCCTATGCCCTCGGGGCCGCATTCACTAACGTACATCAGGGCTGGCGGTACACAATTGCCATTGGTGCTGTTCCTGCCATTGCTCTGGCGGCTACAATGCCCTTGTGCCCGGAAACGCCTCGCCAGCTGATTTCTCATGGTCGCGACGATGAAGCCAAGAGAGTAATCCGAAAGATATTTCCTCATGCCACGGAACAACAAGTGGTTAACAAAATCAAGGTGGTTCGGCATTCTATTGAAGAGGTTGCCGCCTCCGTATCAGACAAGAGCCTATGGTGGCAGATGAAACAACTTTTCACTGTAGGCGCTAATTTGCGCGCCCTGGCCACGGCCTGCTCTATCATGGCTGGTAGAAACCCGAGCCCTTCTCATGTTTCCGATCATGGATGCTGACATTATCCAGTATCACAATTAGGAGGATTTAACACGCTGATGTACTATTCCGCCACATTGTTCTCGCTAGTCGGCTTTAATCAGGCCACAGCCGTCTCCATCGTCGTTGGAGCGACGAATTTTGTGTTTGGATTCCCCAACTTCGCCTTCATTGACCGCTTTGGAAGAAGATCAATGCTTCTCGTCACCGTGTTGGGAATGGTAAGTGCTGCATCTTCATGGAGCTCGCTTGCATCGTCGCTTTGACTAACATTGACATAGTCCCTCTCCCTGGTGGTCGTTGCCATCGCATTCCATTGGATCCCTGTGAATTCGGATCTGAGCGTCACCGGACCGCACGAGATGACCTGGGCGAGTATTCTTCTCCTTGTCGCGCTGATCGTGTACATTGCTTTCTATTCGGCTGGTGTCGCACCTATTTCCTGGGTGGGCACTGAATTTCTCCCCTTAGAAGTGCGTGCACTTGGCACAATGCTGAATACCGTGACCTGTTGGGGTTGTAATATCATCATCTCGTCGACGTTTCTGTCCATGATGAAGGCTATGACCCCCAGCGGAGTTTTTGCATTCTATGCGGGTATCTGCTTTCTCGGATGGGTCTTCGTTATCTTCTGCTATGCGGAGGTGCACAATATGCCTCTGGAGTCGGTGCGGGAAATCTACACCCACGGCTTCGGGGTTAGACACGCCAAGCGATTGCAGAGGGAGCTCCGAGAGGCGAGAGCGAACGAGCAAAGTGCCCCATAGATCGATTCCCGAAGCCTCCCGCAGTTGCTCTGTGTAGCGTTTGATCTGTGCGCAAGAAAGCCATCCTGGCGCAGAGACGCTGGATCCACCCCGGCTTCAAGCTTCGGCGGTAGGAAGTAGTCCTGGCGGCTCAGCACTTGTATGTACGATGCATGTTCCTTTACCCTTTAGTTATAGAGTAGAAAAAGTGCGTTCGGTCATGTCTGTCCACACGCCCACGGGCCGGTGAATGGATAGTCCGTAGTGAATTGATGCAGCTTGAAACGCTTTTCCTCATTGGGAGATTTCCTGCCCCAGTCAATGGCTTGGAGCTACTATCAACAGCCATCAATACCCACTGTTGCATTCTCTTGTTTTCGCTTGTCTCCTGCTCCCACTATCCAGTTTCTTCACTTTTTAGATCCCCAGGAATACTGTAGAATTTCCTCAGCCATCCTCTCAGAGGCCGAATCGGATGTGCAAACAGGCAGTGGTCCTAGCGCCGTGGCAACCGAAGACCAGAAAGGTACGTACGGCAGACTTGCGCATTCACGCGCGCCGCTAGCCAGTCTCTAACCAGCAAGTCAATGCATGTTAGTCCAGGCCAACATACCTCAACAACAATGGCCCATTCACCATTCGCTAGAGAGCTTCAAGTGGCCTGTCTCGCCGTCCAGCGAGCCAGCATAGTCACCAAGACCATGCTGGCGGAGGCCGATAAGGGATCTACGGACAAGGCAGACGCGTCCCCAGTGACCATAGCCGACTTTGCGTCACAGGCCATTTTGATTAGTGCGATCCGCCATAACTTCCCCAGCGACAAATTTGTCGGGGAGGAATCAGCATCAGCCCTGCGGAATGATCCCGCACTAGCCGACCGAGTGTGGCAGCTGGTATCCACAACCCAATTGCATGATACCGAGAGCGAAGAGATCGTCGCAGCCCCCTCGTCGCTAGAAGAGATGCTAAGCATCATCGATTTGGGCGGCAATGGGGAAGGAGCCGGCCATACGCGCACCTGGATCTTGGATCCTATTGACGGGACAGCGTCGTTTATTCAGGGCCGGCAGTATGCTGTTTCCGTGGCGCTTGTCGACAAGGGCGAGCAGAAGGTCGGTGTGGTCGGATATCCCAATCTGCACTTCCACAGCACCGTGGTCCACGAAGACACAGTCGATCGGGATGGATACGGGATCATGCTGTCGGCAATCCGGGGCCAGGGTACATACAAGCGTCCGATGAGCAAGGAGCGCCTGCAGCCCGCCGTGAAGGTGTACAACGTCCTGGCACGGACCGATACCGGCCAGCCCGATCTGGCATTTGCAGAGAGCATGGAGAGCCCCTACATCGATCAGCGGCTACACCAGGTTGTTCGCGAGAGACTGGGTGTCACCAGGCCCGTTACTGACCTATGGTCCATGCAAGCCAAGTATGCAGCCCTGGTGGTGGGCGGGTGCAACGTGATGGTCCGTATCCCCCGAAGCCCCGAGTATCGTGCCTATGCGTGGGACCATGCCGGCGGCATGCTGGTGTATGAGGAATCCGGCGGCATGATCACCGATCTGGACGGTCAGCCTTTCAACTATGGGCGAGGCCGGACGCTGGCAGATAACTTGGGTCTGGTTGCCACATTCCCAGAGATTCACTCGACGGTGCTGGGACTTGCACGGGAGATCAGAGGAAGAAAGGTAGAGGGCGGAATGAAAGACAACACGCAATGACGAGAGAGAAGACGAAAGGGAGAAAGAACACAACGGAAATAGAGAAGAGAGAAGAGAGGAGGCGTGGATTTGAGCCGCCGAGCCTCATCAGGCCATAAGCTGCTCCCCTTCGCCTCCCTTTTCCCCTCATCTCTCACTGCCCCAAACATTGATTTCAATTATATGCCTTGAGCCGATTCGAACATCAAATCGTCTACGTAAATGTATAGAGTCAATAGAATCTTCTACAATCTTACGTTTCTCAATCGTTCTTGAATAGCCCGTGGAATTTTTAAATGCCCATACAGTCAGAACAGGAAACACAAAAACCTAGGACCAACGGTCCCAAGATGCAGGAATGGAGAAAAGCCACAACAGTATAAAAGGAAAAATGTTCTCATCAAGGAAATTCGTGACTTCATGGTCGTTAAATATAACCGGTCGGAAACAATCGCACACGCACACACACACACATACCATACCACAAGATGACCAAAAAGCACCGTAACGCTGACCATCCCTCGCTTGATCCGTAGAGAAAGTGAGAAAAGCGAAGCGCGCAGTCCCAACGCTGCTCCATGAACAACCCAGATAACACACCCCTTGCGAGTAGGCCTTCCCATCGATTGGGGAACCCTCCATGGGGAAGCAACAGAAGACATACAAACGATCGAAAACCAGGTTTGTGGAGGGACCAAGCAATGCAGCCATCCCTACCAGTGCCGGTGTCCAGACACTGTTCAAACCAATCCGAGAAACCATGCAACCAACGCAAAAGGCAAAGACACAATAGGGCGCTGTCTGTCAAATGCAATTGTTGAAACGCTCGAGTGGTGACGAATAGCCTTCCACCCGGTCGCTTCATATCCCATACCCTGCCGTGCTGAATGTGTAGTCTATTATAAGAGTTAAAAACAACAACCAGGAACGTGAAAATCCCCTCAATTCACTCCAAGAAAGGGAAACCAGTAACCCATAACAGAACTAGATTTTGTCTTTCCTTGGAAATTTCTTCTTTTTTTTTTCTGCTTTTATTTCTTTTTGCCACTCCAGATCTTCATCTGGTCAGGAAAGACGACTCCGGGAATGAACAGTTACCGACGACGACCCATGACACCGCCAGCCTTCATGGGCTGGAGCCCAAGGGGCACACCTCCAACGGGACCGCCGACTTCGCTCAGCGTCTTACGGCGCTTGCTATCATACTCCGTTCCTCGGCTGTCTGGTCGAGGAATACGATCCACGTCGTCGTCTTCCCGCATCCGCTTAGTGGAGCCTAGGGAACCGTTCATGCTTGTCGAATACCCAGGAGCAGAGTTCGAAGCAACGGAGTAATTGTCAGAGGTCGCACCATTGCCCGATGTTCCTCTGGTGTCGCTAACGATGTTGTATAGACTGCTCGCGGCGGCGGGGCGCGGAGGAGTGTTGTATCCCGAGCCCCAAGGGGGCGGAGGCCCACCGCTCGTACGGGGTGTCATACGTTCAGACCCATTCTGTTGCGTGGGCGAGCCCGTGATCTCTGGCGTAAGTTGGGAGTGGTCCCCCGCCAGGCTGCCCACCGAAGTGTTGGTGGTGTATGTGTAGGAGCCCCGGTTGGTGTTATATCCAGAATTGTCATGCTGCACATACTCGGTCTCATGCTCTGGCACTTGCTCAGCTCCATTGCTTCCAACGTGCCCATTACTGTGGGCATAGCGTTCCTGCTTCACCTCAGGTGCGTCCGTCTCCGGCTGGCCGCCAGGCGTCCGGCTTGACGGGGGCCCCATCTCGCTCTTGATGTAAGGATGAGACGGGATCGTTTGGCCATAGGAAGCCATACCAGTCTGAGTCAAAGGTTGCTGGGAAGCATAATGGGGGTGAGAAGGCGGGGCAGCGGAGTAATATGGCTTCGAATCATACCCGGACTGGCCTTGGAACGACTGCATTCCCTGCATGTTGCTGCCGGGGGGTGTGGTGGCAGGCGTCGTCGGCATTGAGCGGGCATTGCTCAGGGCCGTGTCAATGGAGAGCGGCTGGGAGTTCGGTACCCCAGAGTTCATCCCTTGGTTGTTCCAGTCATAGGAGTTACTGGGGTTGGTAATGGGCATGAGGCTCGAGGCACTGGCAGGGGGGGTGGGAAATGTGTGTGCTCGATCAAGCGCCGGCCGAGCACCGGCCTGAGAAGCCATGGTGTGGGGTTGCGGCATGTGCGAAGGAACTGTGCCCTGTAGAGAGTGATGGTGGTGCAAAGCTGGCGGCTGAGGCCCCTGGGATGCTCGCGCAGCCTGAGGGCCTTCCAATCGCCGCTGTTGCGATTCCTGCACCACCATGTTCGTCCGACTCTGGTTTGTGGGGTGGTACAAAAGACCACCAATATTGTGAACGAATAGGGGATACAGGAGATCTGTGATCTTCTCCTTGTTGGCAAATTCGAGGGCACGCTCGAAGGGGATCCTAGAGCAAAATTCAGTCAGTCCTGATTGGTGGAAATCGAGCATTCAGAAAATCGTACCAGACGCCCTTCAGATGCATTGGTCCAATCTTGACAACGTGTCGGACCTTCTCGCTTTTCAGAATACCATCGCGGCGACCTCGGGTCATTCCTGCGACGTTTAGTAGCTTCGTGCCGTTGATCATATGATTGTCTGCAGATACACATTAGCACGAAGTCAGAAAGTAGCAGCTGAAGGCATGCTTACCTTCTCTTCTTGCCACGCAGACACCCTTGGCTTCCACTTGGTAGCAGAGGCTGCCTTCATCTTCCCACAAGGTGGCAGTAACGCGCGGTTTCGCTCCGGGCGGGGCGACCTGGCCAGTGGGATCATACACATAGCCTTGTAAGGGGGTCCCGGTCGTGTTCCCATAACCCGCTGTCGGGACAGCACCATGCGTTGCCACAGCTATGGATATGCAGTCAGATTCGGGGTGCAGCTGTTCGTGACAAATGGAGTAGGACGTACCTGGTAAAGGCAACAACTGGGTTGGGACACCACTGCTCATGGAGGTGGTCGGGGGTTGCGGACCTCCCTGAGAGGAGGTCACTCCACCAGGGTAAGCATACTGGGAATACGAGCTTGCCGGGCCATAGGTCGTCGATGCTGGCTGCAGAACAGGTGGCTGCTGGTACTGGTAATGAGCTAACCCTCCCGCAGTGGCGGCATGAGGCGCGTACGGCTGAGCGGATGACAGGTGCGATGAGTGGACATCGATGTAGGATTGTGTTTGGTTCATGCTGCCAAGTGAAGTCTGGTTTTGATAGAATCCGTCACTAACGGGGTTTTGTTGGAGCGAGTACTCTTGGGTGGAGGAATCCAATGAGAGCCGGCCCTGACCACCTGTCGCGAGGTCTGCAGACGTAGGCGGTGGGCTTCTAGCTTCACTAACTACAGGCGCAGCTCCCGATAAACTTGTTCGAGTGCTCGTGTTGTTGGAACCAAGGGCCGACGCGTCTTCGTAGCTAGCCCGGTAGGACTGGCCCGAGATGGCCTGCGTGGCCGTTGGTAGACTGAGAGCTGGGAGTTTGTCGCCAGACAAAAGGGGTCGCTCCGCGGCGTGGTGGTTATACCAAGGAATATCAACAGGACCTCTGGTGTGGACCTGCGAAATCGACGGCAGCTCCAGCTTTTCGGTTGACGGGGGTAACGGTCTTGAAAAGTGAGGCGAACGGGAGCGATCGGACGTCGGACTCAACGATGTGTCCGGCGTGCCGTGAGCAGGTGAAAGTTGTCGGTTCTTGTTTTCAGGTCTTTTGTCAACAAATAATTGTCAGTTCGCAAAGGCACGATCTGACTATAGCAGGCAAATAACAAAGCGAACTTTTTTTTTGGTCTCTTCGTGGGTGCTTTCTTTTCTTCCCGGGATGAGATTTGACTTGTCGTAAATGTATCGCGACCAATAGAATGGGTCAGACACAAGAGGGTCAAGTTGGCAGGTGAGCCGAACAAAAGAGAAGCTTCTAACAGGCAATGCAGAACATGCAAGGGTGTGCAATCGTGGCAAGCTCGTGGGAAGTCGTAACCGTAACACGCTTGAAGATATGGCCGGCGCAACTGGACGAGGAAATCGCTATGCAGTGAGGGTACTGACAGAAATCTAAATCCAGATACTTTCAAGAATCTTGAGTCGTCACAGGCGAAACCATGAAAGCAGGACAACAAGCGCTTGCGGATGGTTAACAGAAATCGCTCAGCCAATTTAGAAGCACAGAATCATGGGTCTCGTTTCAAGTCGTAAGAACAGAGCGGGAGAAGGCGACGTGACAGTCCAGCATCAAACGTCAATACAGTTTGGGTGACTTGCAACCAAAAGCGGTAGCACAGATGAGACGCGTCAAGCGGGCGAATGGCGATGATTCTGCGACGAGTTCAGAGAACAGGCTCGTTAAGGCGTCGTAACAGGTCGTAGCAGGTCGTCGAGGAGCGGGAGGCGATACAGGCACTGACAGTTCTACGAACGGGTCAATAACCTCATGCGAGCAAATTGGCAAGAGACAGAGAAACAGTAACGGGCAAAATAATGAGTCATGAAAATAGAAAAAGAAAAGAGTAATGGGGAAGTAGCAGGCGTAAGAAAGTCGTTCAGTTCGTCCACATAGCCACGTAGAGGGGGGAAACAGGGAAAAAGCAAGACAAGAGACGAGGTCGTGATTGATGGAGGGGGGAATGGTGGAGGGAAGCAGAGGCGGAGGTGTATGTATAAGAAGGCGTCAAACGGAAGGGATGGTACAGCAACGGAGGAGAGGCCAAGGGAGACCGGTGGGGACCAGGAAAAAATAGTAATCCGGACCAAGGAAGTCGGTCGATGGAAATTACTGGGGTTAGGGTGGAAATTGGGAAGAGGGAAATCCAAAAGGGCAGTTAATTTTGGGTAAGGAAAAGAGGTGAGCGAAAAGGTAAAAAAGAGAAAAAGAAAAAAGGGAAAAAGGCCAAAATGGATAAGGGAAATAATTAAAAAAAAAAAAAAAAGAAAAGGAAAAGAAAAGGAAATTTAGGGGAAAAAAAAGGAGAAAAAGAGATAATAAAATCCAAAGAGGAAAGAAAAGAAAAAGAGGGCAACAGATGGGATGAGCAAATGTCAGACACGCTCGACGTGGGCGATCATGACCGAGCAGAAGGACCAAGGCGGTGGAGGGCAGACGGGAATGATTGCAGCGCCGCCGGCGCAGCAGCAGATCATGGGCGAAAGGTGGAGGCTGGGGCAGAAACAGCAAACGCAGGCGCCCCCGGGCTAAGCCTGAGGTTCTCTGCAGCCGCCGGGGTTTCTGGACCGCGACCGATCCGCTTTGGAACCCGTTTAACTCGGTGGGCGGGGAGAGGGGGAAGAGAAAGAAAGAGGGAAAAAAAAGAAAAAGGAAAAGAAAAAAGAGAGGGCAAGACAACCGAAAAGGGGAAAGAAAATAGAAAGAAATAGAATATAATAATTCAAAAAAAAAAAAAAAAAAAGGGAGGATGTACCAACTCAAAGATCCAACGTGGTGAGGTTCTGTTGTTCTGTCTGCTGTCCCCCCTTAGGAGGATTGATAGGTGTGGTCGGAGCTGAAGGGGCGGGGAGGGGAAGCAATTAGAGACAGCTTTTCACCCATAGATGGCCAACGAGTGGACGAGGGAAATGGGATGGGCCGAGGGGAGAAAGAGTAAAGAGGGGAGAGAGGGGGGGGAACAGGTTGGGTTCGGGAGGGGAAAGGGTATGGTCAGACCGTGCTTTCACTCGGTACGGTAGACCCAGTGGGAGTGGAATAGTGGTAGAGAGACCAGTAGTACTATGGAAGCACCACTACTACTACTAGATAGTACTATCTAGTAGGAAGGAAAGGAAGGGAGGGGAGGGGGCCAGCCGCTCAGCTTCCGCGTTTTAGTGGGAGGCTGGTGGGTTTCGGTTGGGTTTGGGTTGGCGCTGGACCGGCCAGCAGAAAGAGAGTCAAGCCCAGCCTGAGGATCTCCGGCTGACGGGTGCAACCGAAGCCCGCGAAAGACGGCCGAAACACCAGCCAAAACGATGGGATCGGGTGCCAAAAGGTGGGAAACAAACCAAGAAGGGAAGGGCGGTGGGTGTGCTGGGCAGAGAAGGATATTCTAGAAAGGGAGGAAGGTATGCTTTCTTCTCAGACTTCGAACCACGACACGTCTAAATCTGCTCTGTCGCAGGTGGAGCAGAGACAATCCAGCGTATCTGCAGTAGTCCGGTGTCCTCATCGATCCAAGGGAGCGGCAACGGCCATTGGGGGTTGGTCCTCGGGCGGCTGGGCGCGTACCGCAGCAAGGACAGCAGCAGAAGCAGCAGCAGCAACAGAACTCTCACAACAGGAAGTGGTCGGGATCAAGGCAAGACAAGACAAGACAAGAAACAATTCACCCAGCGATTCTCTCGCCTCACGGGGAGAGAGCGCGTGCGCGCGTGTCAAGATGAAAGGAGAGAAAGCTCAACGAGAGAGAATAGGAAAATACACTCACATACCAGCACGTGTATTTGGATCTTTTCTCGATCACCAGTTTCTTTTGAGACCTGCGGCGCGGGAATGTAAGAGAAGCTGCAAGGCAATTGTCTGCCGTCGAATGTCTCTGGTGCTTATAGCTTGGTCGCGCTCGTTGGCTGTCCTTTTTGCGTTTGGCCCTTTTTGCTCTATTATATGTATCAATCTAGGCGTCAGCCCCGGCCGGGTCCGTTTGGTCGCGGGTCCCGTTTGGAGTCGGTTCTGAAGAACGAGGCAAAAGGGAACTTGGAGAGGGACCGAGCAGTGGATCACTGGGACCGTCTGTCACTATAACTATGTACTAAGTAGTCGTCCTGGGTCCGTCTCTTTTCTCTTTAATAAAACGGAGAAAGGGAAAAAAAAATTGAGAAAAGAAAAAAAAAAAGTAATCAAGGTCAAAAAAGAATAAAAATCAAAAAATCAAAATAGAAAGAGGTGTCAGCAAAATCCCCCAACAGCTAAGAGGGGGAGGGATTAACGAGATTGAAAAGAAATGGATAAATCAAAAAAGAAAATCATCAGAAGAGGAAAATAGAAATAAGGAATGCACGATCAAAGTGGTAAAATATGAAAAGAAAATCATATAGAAAAAAAAAATAAAAATAAAAAAGGTTCGATGAAATTAGAATAAGAAAAAGGGAAAAATAAGCAGAAAGGGAAATAGTCAGGTGTGGATCCCGCAACTAAAAAAGAGCAAAAGAAGAAGAAGGGGAGTGGGATTTTCTGGGAGACAACGACCGTGCGTCTTGCGGAAGAGCGGAGAGACTACTACACCGTGGGATCTTGGTGCTGGTGCTCCTGCTGCTGCTGCTGCTGCTTCCTGCTAGGCTGCTGCCGGTGCTGGTACTGGTGCTCCCACTCTCTGGCTCTTCCTTCTGGCAGGGTCCAGTCCACAAGTGCTGTGTCAAGCTCAGACAGTGAGGATTCCGCGAATCCGCCACGAAGCAAGGACCATCAGCCGGATAAGCTAAACAAGACGCCGGACAGGAACCACCGTTTGGGCTAGGACAGCGATGATCCAACCGACGCGGTGTCTGCACACTGGCCTCAGATTGGCTCCAGGGGAACACGATGGTGGGAATGACGGAGAGAGAGGGGAAGGAGGGGGGAGATCAGAGTAGCGGCAAACTGATAGGTGAGGTGGTATTGGCAACAAGACAGACACGATACATAGGAAAAATAACCAAGCGTGCGCAGGAGATGTCAGACTTTGGGGGATGAAAAAAATCAATGATCACGTACCCGTGGGAATAACAATAACCAATGACTATAGCGAGGATGTGAACAATGAGATCGATAGCTTAAGTGGAAGAAACAAAAAGACACCCGAGTTCTGGATGGACAGAAGAGTGATGGCACAGAAGAAGCAGAAGACGTACGTCCTGTTCTGCAGGGTCGAGCAACCATTAAGAAACAATTCAATGCGGGCAAAGCCAGAGTTGATCAAAACACAGGCGCCTACTGACCAGCTCGGGAGACCGATCTGATTAGGGAAACCTCATCTGAAATAAGACGGGTTCATTCAATGTCTACTCACTAACTCGCTCTTCATGACCATTGCAGAAAAATGATTAATTTTTTATTCAGATAAAATATTGATCACGGTAATCAAATTCTCACAAGGGTGGAGGAGGACCCAAAAGCCTCGGAGAAGAGGGGGAAGTATTACACCAGTACAGTAGGGAAGAAGCTATAGAAAAGGGAAATTTGGAAAGGAAAATAAGAAAAAAGAAAAGAGAGGAGTGATGAAAAAGTAAAAATAAAAAAAAGGAAATAAAATAAATGTCGCTAAAATAAAATGAAATGATAAAAAGGGAAAAAGTTGGTGAGTCCTTCACTTCCAATTGACTGCGATAGTCGGGAGCCACTATGAACTGTTGGGACCGATCGCGTTGCTGTAAGTCATTCGATCGTCCTGCGCTGCCGGGATGATGCTGGATCGACTGGAAGACGATCGAAATCAACACAAACTGAGGGAGAGGGAAAAGAGGAAAATAGAAAATAATAAGAAGAAGAGGAAAATAATAATAATAATAATAATAATACTAATAATGAGAACATCATAAAAGACGAAAATGAAAAACTGAAAGAAAATGATGGAATTATTCTCCCATGAATTCTTTGGCGCCGTTGCTCGGAGCTGATTTGGTCGGTCTGAAATTTAGTCAATTAGCCCAGCTTCGGTGCAGACTGGCTTAGTGTTTTTATTTTTTTTTTCTACTCATTTATTTTATAACTTTTTCTTTCGTTTATTCTGTTCAAAGTCTATTGTCAGTTCGAAACGTGATCGGAGGATCAACCATCCTACGACCTGTGAGAGTGATGTCTCAAAAGCCAGCAGCCTAGGCAGCCAAAGCAGCAGCGGTGCAGTAGTGCTTAGATCGGGTTGTGAAGAACCACGGAAGCAAAGCAAAGCAAACCACCAGATGACGGAATGACAGGCGTGTTCCAGTTCAGTTCCAGGTTCGAACAGGTGTCTCCACGATTGAGCCCGGGTCCCACACCGCGTCGTCCCATGGAATGGCTCAAGCCGTATCTCTGTCACGGGGCGGCGAACCAATGGACAGCATACATGGGTCCAAATTTTGCCCATTGTGGATATACCGCTGGTAGGACTGCGACTGACTGTAGACGGTTCCAGTACAACTGTTAATCAATGATCAATGGATAGCAGTGGACAGGCGATCCTGTACTATTATCTAAGTAGAGCAGGTGCATGTGTGTGTGTGTGTGTGTGTGTGTGTGTGTGTGTGAGTGTGCAAGTACTAGTACGTAGATACGTAGGATGTCGTCCGATGGTGCGGATTGAACGATAACCATGCTTGCCGACCGGCCAGCCTACATGCTGTAAGGTATTCTTATTTCTGGTGTTTAATCCTTAACCTGCACGAGTCATTCTGGCGCTGCCTAAGTAGAGTGCTGACGGCAAGTCAATCAGTGACGAGCTCGATGCATGAAAGGTACCTGCTCCGTAGATAGTCCATACGCAAATGTGGATTCAGATCCGCCACCAGTAGCAGGGCGCCAGAATGGCCCAGAGCGACCAGGGAACGAATCACAAAAAGAAGGATTACTGGCTAGTAGGGCCATAAGCCTGAAATGTTGGACTTGGGGACAACAAAGATGTACATACAGTAGTCATACTTAGAGTGTCTAGGCAGGTCATACAAAGCCCGCCATCGCAGCAACAATAGAGCTGATGCAAGATGTGAACGGTATGTGGATCATAGGGGAAAGTAAGTATAGCAGCGGGAAGTATTCAACACAGACCAACGAACTATCTGAAAGTGAAAAACCTTGAGATCCAACAACTATCAACTATCAACTATCACAATGTGTCCTTTCAGCCTCGAAACGAGAGAACCGCCGAAAAGAGGACCGCCTTCAAAATGGCGGTGACTTGGCAAGGAGGGGGGAAGGATCAGAAGGAGATGATGATATGAGAGAGAGAGAGAGAGAGAGAGAGGAAGGGAGATGAGAGAGAGCGCGCGCGCGCGCGCGATCGAGTCAGCGTCGGAAGTGAGGGAAATGCGTGAGTGGTTGAGGAGGTGCACACCAAGAGATTTTCTTTACAAGGGATGCAATATTACCCAACCCCCGAACAATCCCTCTTTACTATCTACTAGATAGTACTAGTACTAGTAATTTCGATGTGGTTAATCTCGCACCCTATCTGCTTTTCCGCTCACATTGTCACCCTTCATTTATTTTGCTATTTTGTTTTTTAATTCCGAAGAATGCCGTAAGAGTATTACCTAACCTAGAGGACACGGTCGCAATGGAATAATATTGAGATTTTCGGTCGTGATCCACTGAACTAGCCATCCTCCTTGATCGCTGTCAAGTCTGGACGAGCCCGTCAATACGAGATCTTTGCTAGGGGCAGACTAGCAGACGCCAGCCAGGAATAGCCTCGCGGCCAAGTGGAGCCTCCCCTCGGGGGGACGAGGGCTCTATTGGCCCGGGGGCTTGGCCTTTGGGGCTGGTGGTGTGTGCGATAAATAATTTAAGGCTTTCGGGACGATCTGGAGGGCGTTAGGGTGCGGGCCCCGCCCAGCGTCACCTCCCCTTCTTTTCTGACTAAAAGGTGGTTCAATGTTACTGGGATAAGGCCTGACAAGTCACTACATTTAGATGAGTCTGGTGTGACTGGTCATAGCCGAAGCTAAGTCGGCCAAGCTGGTAGGGTGGGAAAAAAAAAAAAAAAATCTTAGATGAAGTACAGTATCTTAGCCGGGATTTGCTGCGAGACTGTGTGAGGCGGCGACAGACGAGAGAAGGGAAAAGGCGATTAACCATTTAAACTGTCAAGGGATCAGTAAATCACTAAATAAATCGATCAGAAAATTGAAGAAGAGGGAGCGGAGGGGGTGGTCCTCCCATAGTGCTCAGCAGCTTAGGGACTCTACTTTCGTACTAACTAATCCATAATCCATAATTCATAATCCATAATCCGTAATCCATGACATAATCCCATAAAGCTGGCATAATTTCACTCTTCTGCCCGTCAAACCCAAGCCCAGAAGTTAATCACGACAAAATGCCTCCAAACGGGTAAAGGTCATGCAAGCAAGCGCAGCCCACTCCTTTGTTGCACAGAGCAGAAGAAGAAGAAGAAGAAGCGACCAGGATGAGGCCGAAGGACAGGGATTCCTGCAGATGGCCATTCAAACCACTGGCTGAGAGACAACCACGCAGGCAGGGTGGCGTGCGAGCACCCAGTCGATCAAGTCTGCTCGTCTTCCCACACATACACACACACACACACACACACACACACACAGACACACAGACACAGACACACCCACTCATACACGCATACATCCACCACCCCCGTCAGTTGTACGTCTTATCGGTCGGTAGGGAAGCTCCAGAGCAGAGACATCCTAGTTTTTCGACTAACTAGCTTCGGTCTAAAATTCTGTCAGTTGTCTTCAGATTCCCGACCGGTTACGTCCAGAATACTCTAATCCCAGTCCTGCCTACCTGCTTGCATACAGACGGACAGCTCTTCCAGTAGGTACGAACGGACCTACATGGATACCTGGTACGGAGCAGCCCGCAACTCCATCGCCAGATCATGCGCTTTTACTGTTTTCGGCTGAGTCTGGCCGCTTCATTTCTATTGCCCCTACTGTAGCATCTTGGAAGGACTCATACTTCCCAGTAAGTAAATAGGTAAGTACTATCAGTCTATCACCAATGGAACCAACTCATCTCTCCCCTCCCCCCGCCTTCTTTCCCCAACCATTTCCAATAAAGGGGGGCAAGCGAGGAAGACTTAGAAAGACGGAAAGAAAACGAAAAAGAAAACGGAAAAGAAAAAGGAAAAAAAGAAGAAACCAGCATCTTTCTCTTCTACCGCTCTTCTAGGAGTAGTCCTGGTCGGAATGAAAATCCAACCTCCCTTTCTTCTTGCTTTTTGCCTCTTTTCTCTCAATCAATAGCAGGTGGCGGAAAGACTCTTCGTCTCACCCGATGAGGCGGCTCGTTGGATACATCAGACCAGCAGAGTCGGTCAAGCGCCCAACCCCGGGTAATCGACCACGACCCTGGCCAGTCTGCCCCGACCTCATTCCTCCTAAACTAATTCTCCGCTGAGGATGATGAATGGGTGTTCCCCGCCGATGCATGGGACTGGGGTTGTCATTGGTGGAATGCTGGCGTTTCACGAGGCAGCTTAGCCTGGGCTACGACTAGTCGTGCTGCCAGGTATTGGGGGTATTGGGCTCGTCGTCAATGTGAGGGATCTGGAGTTAATTTCCAGATTCGTCCGGGCTTTAGTCCATCTTACGCAGGTCTGGTGGCTCATTGGAACCTAATCGAGCTACGTCAGGATGGTCAGGAAAGGGCCCATGATATCTGGCGACAGTCCATACACCATTCCCCTTCTCTCCAGCAGCTTGTTGAGAAGGGTAGGTAAGTATGAATCTATCAATCTATCTGTCTCAGATCGGCGAAACCTTCGTCTTGAGGGAGGTTGGTGCAGAGCTTCTATGGAGTCACGATGGAGTATCCTGATCCATCAACACCCAAGGAAGTGGGCTCTTCCCGCACGATGATTATGGATACCCTGATGTACATCATCTATCTAGCTCCAGGAATGGAGCCGGTGAGGCATTGACCAGTTCCCTGACTCCAGCAATACAGTAATTAATTCTTGATTATCGCTCGACTCTCGCGGTTGAATGACTGGCCCCTGGTCGTTTCAAGCCGGGATCGCGAACAATCCGGTGTAATTGGATTCATGGTCATGAAGCGCACAGGATCTTTTTTTTTGGGCGCAAGGGCATGAACTCAACAGCCAGAAAGGACAGCCTCCAGGCCTCACCGCTGGTTCATCGTTTCTTTTCCGGCGAGCAGAGGGAGCAAGAGGGAGGGGGAAGGGCGACTGTCATTTGACTGACAAGCCCTATCATTCCAGCTGTTCATGCTCGGCTGACGGAGGAGGGGGGCGCAGACGATAGGCCCGGGAACCTTCTTCCTGCGGGCCTGCAGCAACTCTCCCTCGCGACCCCTTGCGTGAGGTGGAGGAGACTAGCGATCTTGGTCCACGACACTCTTCTCTGTCCCACTTTTGGGAGGCCCAAACTCCCTAATTTTCCCCCCACTGATTTGGATGGGACTGGACTGGACTGGACTATGGATTACTCTTTCAGTATCAGAGGTACGGGAATAAAAAAAAAATAAGAGAGTGAGAAAGCTGAAGCTTCCCATTGTTGGAGACAAGGCCTTGTCTGCCTTCTTTTCTTTTTTATTTTTCCTTTATTTGCTTTTCGCTCACCCCCGGTCGAGGGGGAGTATTACGAGTACTACGACTTTAGTTTACACCAAGCCTACTTACTATGTCCTAGTAGGGTGTTACGGTGAGAGAACATACGGAGAGGTGGGAAATAATTCTGGTTGACAGGTTGGGGTGTCCCGGACGGAGTAGGACGGCCGATGAGGGGATTATGGGTTTCAGTTTGTTGGACAAGACGCTTTTTATTTCCGACCGTTAAGCGCGTCTAGTTCAGGACTACTTCTTGTGTAGCCATCCGTTGGTGGTTGTCCATTCATCGTCCATGCTATAGGCAATGGAGATGGATGTTTTGGCTACTAGTTTGGATCCAGGATTGAACAGCGTATCCAGAAACATCCAATGACAGGCTAGCTAACTGGTAGTGTGTGCCATGGATGTCAGGCATGACAGGGTGCAGCAAGCAAGCAAGCAAGCAACCTTGAAACCTGGGGAGCTTGTGCTTCTCGCTCTCACAGCCTTTGCTTCTTAGCTCTTACGCCAGACAAGAGCAAAAGTTTGAGAAGGACTGACTGACTGACTGACTGACCGACCGACCGACCGCTGCTACCAAGCAGCGCCCCCCGCCTGTCATGTCCCTGCCACATGTCCAACCGACCGACAGAGTTGAGAAGCACGACTACTGTAAGTGAATATGCAAGTGTATTGGTCACTGAAGGTAAGACCAAATGCACATCTATCTGGCATTCAACACTCTCACAAGCACCATGCACCAAGCGGTCTGTGTTGAGCGCCATAGAAAGAAAATAAACCAGACTAGTCATTTGGAGGGTGTCAGTGCGATAGTTATCCACACCTGGTTGACATTTCCGTGAGTAACTACACCGTGAAATGAAAGAAGTACACCACCGTCACTACAGACGACACAAGCAACACTGTCCCCTCCGAGTTTGTGCCGAGACGCCAATGGTCGACCAGGTTGAATGACCGTCGGAGTTAGTCTCAGTATTACCAGCTGGGGATCGCTCAGGGCCGTGCAGTCTAAGATGAGGATCTACCCGGTCTTTTACTCTTTTATGTCTACCTGGTATTTCTTCAATTGTTGTTTTTTTTTAACAATTTGGCTTTGCTTTGCTTTTCTTCCATTCGTCTTGGTTTTTGGTCCATTTTCCTTTCTTTTTTTTTATTTTAGTCTCCCTATCCTCTGTATCTGACTGGAAGATAGAAATTGAGACCAGCCCATCCACCCCATGTGCCCATCATTATGGGGCCCAGAGAGGGTGTGATCCTTCCAAGCCAGACACAAAGCCATACTGCTGGATCTATCTAGTCATTCTTGGAAGTCCGCTACCGACGGCCCGACACCCGCAGCCGTCGTACATACAGCAGATCTTGCGGGGCTGTAGCTCATCCTGACGGAGTACACAGCAGGGTAGACGGCGAAGATGGTTGGCCCCGACGGAGTTATTCACCTTCAGTTGAACATGGTCAGGGTCATGGATCCAATCGGGAGGTCGTTCAAACTTGCACCGCAGCTATCGCCGACCAGCGCCATCCTGCTACAGCGCAGCCCTGGGCATCCTGGGCAAACCTTTTGCTGGAGCAGGAACCCCGTGGCGCTAGTCCCGGCGCTGCAGAGCATGCAGAGTCCTACGCCCGTAGTAGGTACTTCTGTGCCATAACATCCTGGCTAGTGTCTGGTTCTCCTCTTCAATTCCGTGGACAGTTGGATTGGACTGGACCGAACTAGACTTAAGAGACACTACACTAACTAATGAGACTTACTAACACCACTACTACTATCCACCCTCCAAAGTACTCAAACCAGCACGCTATATTTTCTCTTTCCCTCTCCCGCGAATTCCTAATTAGCCCGAGGATGCCAATTGACAAATAACAAGGCTTGGAAACCCCACTTCACAGGAGTTGGTCTAGAGTTGGCGCCGGAGTCAACCGCGGAGTGAAGAGCTCAGGATTCAGCGAGTTGAAGGCCCGTCCGGGTCACGCTAGACTCAACTGCGTAAATGCAGGGAGATCAAATCGATCCGTCTTGCCTTTCGCTTCCCCTCTTTTTTTTTGTTTCTTCTCTCTTTCTCACACTGTCTCTATCATCTTCCTCTCTCTCCCTCTCTTTTAATTAATTTATCGACACATCCCCGTCATTACGTGGTGTCATTATTTTTTTTCCTACTCATTTATTATTTTTTTAAATTAAGTGTTTACTCGTCGGAGCAATGTGAGCCTCGGACGAGACTTGTCCATAAACCCCCCCCCCTCCACTCGGATTGATTGATTGATTGATTGATCATTCATGGAAGAGACATGAACCAAATCCAAAGCAGGATAGGAATTACTCCGGTCCTGACGGGTGGGGCGCACCTCCTCTTGTACCGCCAATGCGTGGATAACTTCCTCTCGGGTCGCTTATGACTGAGATCGCTATCGGTCCGGTTGTCGACGGACGGCCTTGGACTTGTCTACTAACCAACCGTCTCTCCCTGTTCCCCTCTCATCCCCCCCAATCTCCCATTTCCACACTCCAATTTCATGAGACCCCGTCCAGACTAGCGACAACGCGCCTGTCAGGTTTTCGGCGGTACCTGCAGCTGCCATGCACGCCCCAGGGAAGGACCGCTTCCCAAGTCACTGCACCCGCGAACTGCTTCATTCTTCAGCAGTCGATAACCTGCAGCCGCCAGGATGGTGGTACCGAGGTAGTGCGCGCACTGGGCATAGTGCAGATGTTAGTTAGATGGCCGGTCTGTCGCTTTATTACTTGGACCTTAGCAGGGCGCTAGTTTGTTCCAATGGAGGTCAACAAACACTAAGGCAGACTCCTCCACTCTCTTCTCTTTTTTCTTGTTTTTAATTTTTCTTTTTTTTTTCTCTTATTTTTTTTTTTTTTTTTGTTTTTCTTTTCTGCCTCAGTACCATCTGGAAGCACTAACACTAAACATTGCCCCCCTGATGACCCCAGCTCTTCCTTAGGATCTAGCTCTCTAGCTGCTCACGCGGATGCTGAATCTCCGGATAATGGGCGAGGATTACATTGCGCGCCCCCTCCTCCTCCCCTGCTGTGCAACGTTGGCCACGGGAATAACCGGTCGAGGACAATTTCTAGGCTAGTGAGTAGCTTGACGCCCTCCGAACAAAGGGCGATAAATCTACGGGAAGGGAAGATTTGCCATTCTAGAAGACGATGACCTATTCGGCAAAAGGCATATAACTCCGTGCTGATCGAGTTTCCTTCTCCGGCCGGAATGTGATATGGCCCCCAACTCCCGGGTCTCGTGCATCTCGTCAGTCAGCACGAGTGATCTCAACGCATCCATGCCGCTCTGGTCGATGACCGGCCTCCAACTAAGGAAAGGGAATCCGCGCCTCGATTGGCTGTGTCCCCTCAAACTGTTCAGCGACACCAAGAAACCACACTAAAACGGCTCCAATCCACCCCCCGGTCGCCAATCCAGCACACCCACAGCCGAGTTCAGCCCGAATCCGTCGCTTCATCCGGACAAAGTCGGACGAAGTCGATTGGACGGGCGCGTGCAGGGGGGAGATTCGACGTGAAATCAGTGTTCCCCAGCACGGCCCCCATCCCCATCCCCTCCCCTTTTCCGGAGCGTTATTGGCCTCTGTAGCGGTGCCGTAAAAAAGGGCCAGGAATGATTTTGAGGCATCTCATCTTAACGGTAGCGAGAGGGGACGGACAGTGGCGGGAGAACCAACCTGAGTGGTCAGGACTGCTGCACGCAGTAATTAACCTTACATTGCATGTTCCGTTGTTACCCGTGCACGATCGACTGCGCAGGTGGATAGCCAGTGCACTAAGCTTTGAACGATTTCACTCTGGCCAATTCCTCCTCCAATATCTGCTGCCGCTTACTTTTCTTATTATTCCATCGTCTTTTCACGACGAGCAATTCGAAAAGAGGCTGCTGCCTAGACAGGGACATGAGCGGTCAAGAACTCGCTGACGGATTGCTGCAACCTTAATATCCGGATTTGTTGTTGTCAGTGGCATAATGCGACCGGCCAGGGAAGAATCGGATTGTTGGTGGCTGATGTCACGGTTCAAAATAGCTCGTTCCAGAGACGAGTAGTATTGTAGTATGTATAGGATGAGTGGAGTTTCCGTTTTGTTTCTTTTTTTCCTTTTTTTTTTTATTTTTTTCTCATTCTCATGATTATAATTATTTGTTCTACTTTCCTGATACGGTACATTCAAGCCCAGTACTTAGTAGATGACCTACCAGATCGGGGAAGCCGGGCTTTGCAGGATGAGATGGATGGGATGGGATGGGATGGGAATACACAGTAACAGGCAACACAAGAAAAAAGAAAGGGAAGACCAAAAGGGCCACGATGATCAGCGCCAAGCGACACGGACCCTCGTCGCCCGGTTGTCTGAGGCGATGTTCTCGACTTGAGGGGTTGTGCAGATCATGATTGGGCAGTGAGTTGATTAGTGACAAAGTAGTGGGAGAGGAGGTGGAGGGAGGGGGGGCGCACCGACTGGCGGTGGAGACGACCACGTATCTTTGCACATCGAGAGGAAAGGAGGAGGAGGAGGAGGAGGAGAGGGGAAGGGCATGAGATTAATCTGGCAGTGAGTTGGCAAAAAATGAACGTGATGGGCAGACAGACGGGAATTGAACACACACACACCACACACACACGGCAGACAGACATAGGCAGACAGGCAGGCAGACCGCTAACTACTAACTTACTAGTGAGTAAGTACCACTACTAATTACTATCCTTGCGTTGGGGATGGCGTTGTTTGGTTTCAGCTGCAACAACCCGTGATGCATACCTACATATACGTATATTATCATTGCCAGTTATATCTTGCCTATGATACTAGTGGTAGGATACATAAAGTAGAATAGATAATACAGATAATATATGAGCAGTCCGTCGATCGCTGCACGAGATAGAAATAGATAAGTACTGACCACCATCGAAGTAGGGTTTAACTTAACTAGTAAGTAGGTTATGAAAAGTTTCCTAATATAGTAGTGCAGGGTGCTGCTGCTGCTGCTGCTGCACAACGTACATACATATACAAAAATACAGATAGAGATACATACATAACATTGAACTGAATCGATGGCGATGACGATGATGATGATGATGATGACCCTGCATCAGCTGACAGATGATATGTACTCTTAGTTCGCCTCTCTTACACGATCCGTAATAAATCTTATCGAATCAGGCATTATGTTTAACGTTTATCCCTTGATTCATTCATTAGCCACTCATTTTTTCACCGTTATTTCCATCCTTATCCTTATCCTGATAGGTTTTTCTAAGTTTAATCCCCTCTTGCTTAATTCAGTATATCCCTATTACTTACTACTTGCATACATGCACATATACATACATACATACATACATACATGATCCTACATACTTGAAAAATGCTGGCTACACAGAGGCTAGAACAAGGCTACACAAACCCGTGCAGGATGCATCATCCCAAACTCTTTCCCACCTTTTGTGTAATATTATCCAGCTTGGTTAGTCGTCAGCCAGCCAGCCACAATGAGCTCATCTATCTCCCTCCCTCTCTCTTTTTTCGCCTTCCCTTCACCGTCTTTCTTGGGGGGTGGTTGGAATGTGTGTGAGGGTGTGGTATGATCTCTAGTCTATGATATACTAGCTAGCTATGATGAGTTGTGCGAGGGATTGAGTTGCCATAGACTGTATATTATTATTATATCACTATCGTCTGGTATTATATGTAGAATATTATGGATGGTATACTTATGTAGAGTATATGCATAGCATAAAGTATGTGCTTATGTAGGATTTCATGTAGACCAAGTCTGGTAGATTCAGATACAGTTATGTGAAGCATAAGGAATACGACGGACGGATCATGCTATGTCAGGCAAGGCGAGGTTAAGTGAGGTAAATCAGCTTATTCATGTAGTAGTAGTAGTATTGTTGCTTTTGTTGTCGTTACTAGTAGTAGTGATAAGCTAAAAACTATACTAGCTGATGATATACCATTCTTTTCGTGGATGTACAAGTACAGTTCTTCGTCCACTGTCATGTTTATATATATACTACTCTATGGACCAAGAGTGTATCATGATACTAGAAGTAATAATCACATACCCACAAAACTACACTACCATCATACAACTCCCTACTACCCAATTAATCACCATCTCAACTCCAAATATCATCTACAACCAATAAATACAACATAAAACACTCCACCATACTAACCCACCCACCGAACACATCCATCCCAACACCCGATAAGATAACTTATCGAGATCAAATCACATGACCGATAAGCAACTCTCTGCTCAATCGGATATGGTATCCCCTCCAACCACCAAACAAACACACATACACAGTTCCTCAAAAAATCCTCCCACATAACCACCACAGCTACAATGCCCCCTCCACCTCCCTCCAAACCCCATCCCCTCACCCCCACACCGACCAACTACCTCACCTTCGACACCTGGAACTCCTCCTCCACAGGCCACCAAGTCGCCGATCCCGGATCCTCCCGCGGAATTACCTCCTGGCGCGAGACGAGACGAGAGAAACTCACCAGACAGTTTGGCGTGGGGAGAGGGGATTGTACATATGACAGCGACAATGGGGTGGATAATAAGGGAGAGTGGGTTCTTACTCAGGAGGAATCTATATCCGCAGAGATGCAGACGAGCATGAATGGAAGAAAGCAGCAGCAGCAGAGGGATATACGGAGTATGTTTGGGGTGTCGAAACCGAAACCCCAACAACCTACATCTATACTATCTATATCTATTCCGCAGAAAGGGTGTGAGATACTATCATCATTGAAGAGAGATGCTACGTCTTTGGATAATGGTGCAGAGAAAAAGAGGATAAGAATTGATCACGATAATGAGAATAAAACAAAAGACACAGACACAAAATCACGAAACAAGAATAATATATCTACATCTACATCTACATCTACCATCTTCTCCTCCCTAACCATCCACATTAACGGCCAAACAACACCCACAGTCTCGGACCACAAACTCAAACACCTTCTTATCTCGCACGGTGCAAATCTCTCGCTTCATATGCATCGTGGAGTCACGCATGTTATTCTGGGAGAACCTAATGCCCATTCTTCTTCTTCTTCGTTGAAACCAGCAATAAAGGTAGCAGGGGCAGGAGGCGGTTTAGCAGCGGGAAAACTACAGAAGGAGATACAGAGAGGTGGGTGGAAGGGGGTTAAGTTGGTGAGGGTTCAGTGGTATGTCTTTTCTCCCTCTTTCTTTTTCTTGTTGGGGATGGATGAACGGGTTGTGCTAATTGTGTGTAGGGCTGTCGATAGTATAGCAGCAGGGAAACGTCTCTCCGAGGCAAAATATGCGGTTCAATTAAGGACTAACCAAAGGAGTGTGCTTGCATTTACTTCGTCTACATCTACAGCTACATCTAATGATATTTCATCACTTTCATAACATTATCTATCTATCATACTATATACATTAATATCATCCTGATCATATCATATCTTCGTTATCTCATATCATACATCCCAAAATGTGCCCAACCAATTTCGTTAGATGAATGCTCCTCGTCTCCCTGGCAGTTGCACACTGCCCCCGCTGCTTCCCGATCCATGTCTGCGCCAGCCCACACTCCGTCCGCTTGAGGACAGCGTCCCCGCGCTACTATGCGATCCGCGCCGGCCCATATCCATTGGCGCATACGGATCTTCGAGCGGCTCTTCATCCGGGAGCGGTGGAAGCGGGTTGACGCGCAGTCGGGCTGGGTAGAGCTCCGGCGAATGCGTTAGTCCGGAGGGCAATCGGCCCGGACCGTCGTCGAAGGTGCTATCATGCGAGTCGAGTCGGTCCAGCTTCTCGTCCACATCATCGTCCGGTGCCGACTCCCCCCGGGAGTCACCGCGCACGAGACCAAGGCGTTCTTCCTCGGTGACGGACTGTGCCCGGTGGCGGGGCGGTCGGGGGGCAACGCTGCTTCGCGATGCAGTTGCTTCGTGGCCTGATTTCATGCGGTGGAGCATCGAGTTGAATGAGAATTGGCGTCGTGTGCCGCCGTGGGGTGGCGGGGAAGGGGCCGCGTGTTCGTCTCCCCATGGCGTGTGGCTGCGTGACTCGTCTGGGATGACTGACTGTGGGTAGCGGGTGTCGGGATGCGGCCTGTGGGCGGATAGGGCTGTCAGGGAGACCGGGTCCGGCGTGGTATGTTCATCCTGGATGGGCTGCCAGGCAGGATGGAAGAGGCTCGAGGCGCGAGATCGCAGGTCGTCGAGGAAGGAATGGCTGCTCTGCTTCGTGTCGGGTCGCTCCGGCTCGTCTGGTCGCTCCTCCGGTACGTGCGACATGCCCAGTGGCGGGACGGGATACTTGACCGAGGGGTCGCGCAGGGTTCGCGTGCGTCCCAGGGTGGTTGGACCTTCGCCGAGGACGGTCTTGCGCCGGCGCAACCCGTCCCACTCGATAACCTCATTCTCCGCCGGCGGCTTAAGGTCTTCAGCGCGGTCGTGGAAGTAGCGCCGGGCTTCGTCAGCTTCCATCTGGCGGCGTGGGGTGGAGATACGACGAATGATAGCAGCAGTGGCGCGAATGGAGTCGGCCTTGGGCTCAAATTCAGGCTCTTCTTGCGTGGCGACCTCGCGCACCTGGTCGAGATCTCCCTTGAAGACAGCGGCATCGGGGACGTCCTTGGCGGATTTGGACAGCTGCAGCAGGACGACACCAGCGCAGATCTGCAGAAAGCCTAGGATGACCGTGACGATGGAGGAGACGGACCCCTTGAAGCCGCGGAACAGCACGGCGGAGGTGACAATGGTGGAACTGGTGAAGAAGACGTAGTAGGTAGGAGTGACCAGCGCAGCGTTGAAGATGTTGAGGGCTTTCTGGCTGAGCATTAGTACACCAAACGAAATCATGAAGAACATAAGGGATACGCACATTGAGATAGACAATCTCAGTCACCAGCGTCGTGATAACAAACACCAGCAAGACGTACATAAACCACTGGTTGAACTGCGCCTCACCATTAATCTGAGCCAGGATAGCAGATCCCAGACCCTGCGTTGCCACGACACTCAACCCTCCAATCAACGAGCAAATGCTGATATACACGAACATGCTCTTCTTGCCATATTTAGGCCCCAACCAAACCGCCGTGACGACACACCCCACGATAATTACCCCAGCATAAGACAAAAACCCCGGAGAAATGACATAGCTCTTCATCTCCTGAATATCACTCACAGACGACTGTTCTGGCGCATTCAACGCAATAACCACACTGCCTAAGATGCAGCAAAAACAGCCCACTTTTCCAACGAAACTGAGCCGCTCCTTCAGAAAGATTGCCGACAAGATGGTGGTCACCACGACCGTCAGTGCGCCCATCGGCGTCACGAGGATAGCGTCGACGAAAGCATAGGCAACAAAGTTGCACAGCTCCCCGATGATCATCAGGGTCATCCCGCCCCACCAGAAGAGGTTCTTCAGGTATCCATACCCTTCGCCGGCTTCTTCATTGTACTTGACATTGGCGCGGAGGAGGCCTTTTTTCTTGAGTACGAAGGAGACGCCGATAAAGAAACCCGAGGCGATGGCGAGAGAGATACCAATGGCTTTGTAGGAGGCTGGACGGGAGGAACTGTCGGCGCGGGCGGCGAGGAGGTTCACAGGATGTAGTGGATTGTCGGAGTCCATGATGGGAAGCTCGGCTGCATCGGGGACACTGCCTGCAGTGTCTTGTATCTTACTCTCTCTCGTATCGATGCCGTGCTGACAGGTGGGAGAGAGAGGAAGAAGGTGTCGTGTGTGAGATCGGGCGCGAAGGATGATAGGGGGGGAGAAGCGATAAGCGAGAGAGAGTTATAATTAGTCGGGGTCTGGCGCTAGACAGCCATGGATGAGTGGATGAAGCGCTGCAGGGGCGAAATAGATAGACTGATTGATTGGATTGGACTGCTATTCCACGAGGTCGGACTGACAGCGGATCAAGGAGTGCAAAAAAAGGCGTGCGATCGACAGGCCCGTGGGATCGGAATGTGCCAGATCGATAGTGATCGAGATCTGATGCCGCGAGGAGTGAGGGGGAGGTATGTAAAACTAATCTTAGTAGAAGACAAGGGGAAGAGAAAGTGCAGAAAAGCAAGACAGGCAGGGGGGAGACGAATGGCTTGCGTAAGACGAACTGTTTGTTTGTTGCAGAGAAAAGCGAGGCTGGGAAACTGAAGTCAATCGTTGGTTGATCCGGCGCCAGTTGGGCGGCGCAGCACATCCCGATCCACGGTTCGTCGCAATGCTTCTTCAACGTTTCGATTTCCTCTTTGTGGTTCTAGAACATCTTTACACTAATTCTATTTACGCACCACTATCCAGCAGCCTCAAACAGTAATATTCATTAACGGGTCATTAGGGTATCCATCAGATCATAACCGGAAATCGCCCGCTGTCCTCGCAGGATTCTCGCAGACGCCTCCCTCATACACCATAGAAGTAGACTCATCATCAAAAGTCAAAAAGAAAAAAGGTAAAAACATAAAGAAAGATACAGGAAAGTGAAGTAATAATATCATGACCGTACATGGTAACTCGGCTTCCGCTGTTTGTTTACCACCGGTGGCTCGTCCACTGGATACGGCGGTCGAATCTTCCCACTCAAACTTCCATTGTGACTATGTCCCGGGCTGGTCGTCGTCGGCATCGGCATGGGAATCCCTCCCAGTTCACTAGGATACTCGGAAGGATAGGGAATCGGCGTCTTGGGCGGCACAGGCGGAGGCATCCCATCATGGCCATGCCCGGTGCTGGGTCGAGAGGACCCATGCGCCCGCGAGTTGGGCCGACTCACATCGCCAGCCCCCGGACTGGCCAAGTCGCCTGATGTCCGCCCCGGTGATGGCAGAACGGCGTCCTGTGGCGTGGGGTGCGCCGGCAGCGAGTCCTCTGTTGTGATATAAGGCACAAAGTCACCCGGCAGCTCAGCCGGTAGCTCCACGGCCATCGGGTGCGATGGCGGCGGCACCGACAGCACTGGACTGTGCATGATGGACGAGGTCCCATCATCGACCTGACCTGCCGCCGCCGCATGGTCAGCCAGCCGGCGGTGTTGGCGCTCAATCTTGGCGAACTTGACACCTGCGTCCAGGATCTGGTGCTTCACCTCCGGTCGCGTCAGGTAGCGTCGTGTGTTGGTGCTGATGTCTGCCAGCCGGTTCCATTCATTCATTCCAAACTCGCCCACACCCACCTCGACGTTCAACCGATAGTAGTTGTCCTTGCTCACATTGCGCTTAGCTAGATGGTCGCGCAGCATCGCCAAATGGATATCCTCGCACCCCTCGATCTTGGCGATCAGGCGTCGACGAGCTTCCGCGAACGTGCCCAGGGCATCCCCAAAGAAGTCCTCCCACCATTCGTGTTGCCGATTGTTGGTGCCTGGTGGGCGCTTGCCAGTTCCCACGCTGACAAACACTCCGATCTCGCGACCGGGCCACTCGTTCATGACCGCTTCATCCAGCGCCTGCGGCGAGGGGTTGTAGGTGCCGGCACCTTCGTCGATGAAGACGTGCTGTCCAATCTGAATGGGCTTGAAGGCTAGCCCGGTGGCAGAAGTGGCACGACCAGCCTGCCAGACTGTGCAGTTAAACTCGGGCGGGGGCTCTTTGCGCGAATCGTAGGACCGGAGGAGGACGGTCGAGCCGTTGCGGGACGTGGTACCTTTGTAGAGTGCAGTCACAGCACTGATCAGTCAGCATATATTCACAAAGGAAGTCAAATAAATAAAGAAAGAAGTAAAAGAAGGCGAGGAAGTAGTGGAAGGGATAAACATACGTTTTCGTCCGATACTCTCGATTATCATACAACAGCGCATCCGGATTTCCCCAGCGTAAGCCGTTCACAAACGTCGAATTGCGCTGACTAGCATGACCCGACGAATGGGAGGTAGTAGTACTGAAGCTAGCCCGACTGCCCGAGCGCTGGGGCACTGACATGGAGTTGGGACTAAAAGGAGCACTGGCCAGCGAATTGCGCGCCGACGGACTCATATCGTTCCCCTCCGCTTCAAAAACGGTATGTTCGCGGACACATTCACGGATGGCTTCTTCCAGCTTGGAAGCCTTGAATAGTGTTTTATGAAATGGGATGCCGGCGAAGGTCTTGTCGGTTTCGAACACGCGGCGGGTCATGCGGACATAGACATCTTTGCAGGTCTCGAGATCCAGTCGTAGCCGACCCAGCATGAGGGCGATCAGGCCGCCGGTTCCGGTGCCGACGATGAGGTCGAAGTGGTCACAGGGTTTGGGGATTTCATCGCGACGAGGGGCTTTGCCTTCGCATTCGACATAGACGCGGTACATGAGTTCTTGGAGGATGATGAGCATGGAGTAACCGCGGACGCCGCCGCCATCTGCCATTTCATGGGCTAGGTTAGTGGGGATATCTTTATGAGCATCTAGAACAGATACCTACCAAGCGACAGGATCCGCAAGGGCGGACCCTTGGTGGTATCCTTGCGGCGGAGGTTGACGGAGTAATCCATGACCCCGCCGGGCGAAACAGATGAGGATAGATCGATGAGGCTGATAGATGGAAAAGGCGAGGTATTGCGATAAAATGATATCGACGATGAAATGACCGGGATGTGAAGATACTCGGGGATGGTGTGAGAAAAGAAGCGCCCGACAAAGTAGTAAGTAGTGGTGGTACGAAGGCAAGAAGATCTTTTGGCCTTTTGCGGGATGAAGAGAGAGAAACTGCGGGAAATGCAAGTGAGCGCTGCGCCACGGTCGGGCCCACGATGACATAAGGAAGCCCGCGTAGGGCAGTAATAGTGGCCGTTCATTGGCTGCAAATGGAACAAGCTGTGGCGGTGTTCCCACCCGGGCGGTGCCGGTTTCCCGTTTGGGCCGGAAGTTCGTATTCAATTCGGCATTTTACCGATGCCGAATTACCCTTTCAGGCACCACAGTTTCCTCTTCTCGCATGATATCATGACAAAGACTGCAGATACCCTCGCTTTCTATGAGTTGGAATAGCACACCGTATTTTGTTGGTGCTACTAGGTGTATTACACCGACAATGCAATGCATCAATCCTCGCCATATCAACTTAGTACTCGAATAGGTAATCAGCTATACACAGCCTGAAATAGAAGCACAGCACCGTCCAGTCTCAGTACATCCATGGATCAATAAACTCACATTCCCAACCCAAAGTTGACCCCCCTCCCACTCCACTCCTCTTTTATCTATCTACTACAATGCCGAAGTGGTAGGCTTAACATCACCAACAAGTAAATCCCTCACCAACTTCAATCCCTCCCCAGCAAAAAGCACCATGTTCTTTTCTCTTTCCGCGGTTCCTGTCTCCACCTCCCTTGTCACCGTCCCAGACGGCGTCGATACTGCGAGCGCCACATATCCACTGCATAACTACGTATCAGTACACTTTGCATCATTTTATACGACGACCCTTTCCCCGGATACATCAAAAGAGAGAAAAGTAAAGATTGGGTCACTCACGGCGTCCGATTCCTGGTCGTTCCACCTGTCGGTCCTGCCGTTCCACTCTCACAAACGGTATATGTAGATTTCAGCGTGCCGCGCACATTTTCCGCGATCCCCGCCACTATTTCTGGGGTCGGGCCACTGTAATTTTCCCAATGTTGAGGGGTCCAGCCGGTGTAGGCAATGCGGGAGTCGAGGGTGTACACCTGGTCCTGTTTAGCTATTGAAAGGTGATGTGTATAGTGGAAGGTATGTACCGTAAGTCCGCCTTTGTAGATGGTGGATGCGCCTGGAGTAGAGAGGAGACAGGCTGAGATGAGGCCGCCGGATGCCTTGATTATCAATCGCTTTGGTCAGTTGTGAAGGGATTATGGTGGGGTGAGGGAAGGGAGGGGTACGGTTTCGGCAACGGAGATGGTCTCCTTGCGGGCGCGGAGGAGGTCGAAGATCTCTTCAATAAGAGGGCGGAGACTGGCCGGAGGAAACTCAGACATGGTGGTGCTTGCGGTAGAAGAGGAACTGTAGGGGAGGTGGTGATTAATGTTGATGTTGATGAGGGGAGAAAGAGAAGAAGTGGTGAGGAGTAATTGTTTGGGCCGGTACGTCATCGCCAATCAGAATTCTATCGCTAACAAATATCCATAGTATCCTACATCTAGGAGTATATAAGTAGTATCTTAGTACCCTCTTTCCTTGGAAACCCGCTCAGTTGGTCAATCCTGGCCAATCTATATCAATCAGTCACATAATCACTCTCAGAAGATAGAGCAGCAGCACACTTACCATAGACCATCCGTTCCTTAACCCTCCTTGCTACCACCACCGCATCCCCAACCCGCACCGTCCGGCCATCCGACCCTGCATCCAAAAACCCATATCGACCAAACACTGGACTGAACTTGGCGCCCTTATCAACACGCCGATCCTTCATCAACTTCTTCAGCACAGTCCCCGACTCGCCCGTGCCCATCTTCCCTGTCGCATAATCAACATTAAGGCTCTGACACCGCACACAGTTGGCAGTGAGCAATAGCTTCGCCGAGCCAAGCTCTCCAATCTGCACTTCAGCCCAGAAATCCTCTTCAAACGCCGTCTCCGCACCAGATATCACAATGTTTGGCCGGGCTTTGGTAACATCCATTTCTTCATCCCCAGCTAACCGCGCCGAGACATCATCGACTGAAGTGCGCGACACAATTAGATACGGCGCCGTATCAGCGAAAGTAATCTGCTCTTCCTTTTTATTCTTGCATCCAGCTCCATACCAAAACACAGCCCCTGCTGCTCCTGTTGCTCCTATACTCCCCAGCAAGCCCATACTCATACCAACCCAAGACAACAAAATCATCACACCCACCAGTCCTGTTCCTAGACCCAAAACCCCATCCCTCCTCCACCATCCCTGCGTCCCTCTATGCGCCGCACTCTTCTCCGGCGCAAAGCTCCCCAGAACACCCCTGTAATTGCCGCCCAAATACACCAGCACCACCTGATACCCGAAACACTCACTAAACCACCCATTATACTCCTCCCCCATGATATATCCCTTCGTCGGACTCTGATGCATGATAACTTCTACTTCCTTTAACCCAGCCGTATTGGGTACCAGTGGTACCTCCAACCTCCGTTGAGATTGGGGTTGATCAGCAGTGGGGGGAGGACGATATGTAACCTCTATCCTGCTAGACTCGGATTCTGATGCGTTTTTGTTGTCATCGCCGTGGATGATATCGGTGTAGAACAGCGACATCTCGGGGAAATGGGGCACGTGCATATTCTTGTATTCGCCATTGGGGAGGACCTTGAGGAGCATGAAGTGGCGGTCATAGGGGAAACCGGTTCGGGTGAAGGTTGCGCTGGGGATGGGGATGCCTTGGAGGGATTTAATGGGGTAGGTGTAGAGCTGGTGGATGATTAATGTCAGTATTAGCAGTGATACTGGGATACGGGCATGGATGGAAGGGTGGATGGGTGTGGGGAATGATGTACTTGGCTGATGTGCATGGTGGATTCGTGGGAAGTGTGTATATGTATTATAGCGGATGTATTGTATATGTGAGTATGAGTGAATCAAGACGAAAGACAAAAAGAAAGAAGGGAAGGGATACAGGATCAGAATGACTGACTGATGCATTCCGCGGGAATAGTTAACCAAGACAAGCTAGCTGCATTGCGGAGATAAGCCGGGGAATCCAGACTCGGAGGGGAAAGTGACTCCAACTTGTTTGTCCTATCGGCGCTTTTTGCTTATCGGCGGGTCTCTCCCTTCTCCGTCTTTATTTTTGTCTCCGCACGGCTGTCCCCTCTTCCCCGACCCTCTCCGAATTTCATTGCTCCTCCTACTTAGTAAAAAGAAAGCCCTGCTCTGATGTGTTGAACATTTTAATTTCACTGTACAGACATGCATTCATAAATTAAACATAACCATAGTCATTTCCACCGCCCTCTCCTACTCATCCTTAGCCCAGGGCAGACTGAACGTCCCCGCCCAGTCCTCCACCTCCTGTCGTAGCAGCACAATCTCCGGAATCTCCTCGCCCTCGCGCACATAGTCCAAGAACGCCTTGACCGTGTTCGGGTTCTTCACACCCTTTGCGGCCGCACTCTCCTTGGCTGCCTTGTCCAACTTCTGTGTGATAATCACCGCCCGGTCCACAATGTCTGCGACGCGGCGGAAGTCCTCCGGCTGGAAGCCTCGCGTCGTCATGGCCGGCGTGCCCAGACGCAGACCACCGGGCTTCAGGGCCGACTTGTCGCCCGGCACCGTGTTCTTGTTGCTGGCCACACCGCACAGCTCCAGCACCCGCTCGACGCGCGCGCCGTCCACTCCGCGGTTCTTCAGATCCACCAGCACCAGGTGGTTGTCGGTGCCGCCGGAAACGATGTTGTATCCCAGGCCTCCACTGCTAAGCGGGTTACCAAGACGCTCTGCCAAGGCCTGCGCATTGGCCAGCACTGTCTGCTGGTAGGTCTTGAACTCAGGCGATTGCGCCTGCTTCAGCGCCACAGCCAAGGCGGTGATAGTATGGTTGTGAGGGCCACCCTGGTGACCCGGGAACACGGACGCGTTGATCGGGCCCTCTAGATCATACATCTCCGGGTTACCCTTCTTGTCCGTCCGGCGAACACCCTTGCGGAAGAATATCATCGCGCCGCGGGGACCCCGCAGCGACTTGTGGGTCGTGGTGGTCACCACATCCGAATGGGCGAAGGGCGACGGGAGGACACCCGCAGCCACGAGACCGGAGATGTGGGCCATGTCGCTCAACAAGTATGCGCCGGCGGCGTCTGCGATCTGCCGCATACGAGGGTAGTCAATCAAGCGGCTGTAGGCCGAGGTACCGGCGATGATGAGCTTGGGCCGGTAGAGAAGCGCCTGCTTCTCCAGGGCGTCGTAGTCAATGATACCGGTCGACTCATCTAGCCGGTAGGGTAGCGTTTCGAAGTATTTCGAGATGAACGAAATCTTCTTGGTGGGGGTCTGGTAGCCGTGGGACAGGTGACCGCCGTGGGGCAGGTCCAGGCCCATCAAGCGGTCGTGGGTGTTGAGGATGGCGGAAATGGCATAGAGGTTAGCGGGCGAGCCGGACAGCGCTGTGCTGGTCAGTATAGTTGTCGCACGCCAATGCCACGACAGGAATCTCACGTTGCACGTTCACACCCCATTCTTCGGGGTTAAGGCCAAAAGTCTCGAGCGCACGCTGCTGGCACAGCCGCTCAGAGGCGTCAATGTGTTCGTTTCCACCGTAGTATCTGGCACCGGGGTATCCCTCCGAGTATTTATCTGTTGTCGCGTCAGCTTCCGCTGGCCCCAGGATCGAATCATAGACCATGACTGACTTTGCATGACACTGCCCAGCGCATCAAGGACAGCTTGCGATGTGAAGTTCTCGGATGGGATGAGGTTGATGAAATGCTGCTGACGTTTTTTCTCCTACATCTGTGATGAGTGGGTAGATCAATTGCGTCTGAAGAATTGGCAATTCTACCTTCTGGAGAATGTCATAGATGGCGGGGTCGGACTCCTCGAGGGGTGCGGAGAGCAGCTGGAGACGGGAGTTAGCGGGTATGGTACGATAAAGATATGGGATGACATCAGGCAACCCGGAAGCTGCTGCATTGCGCGAATCCCGCACGATGAGGGGACACGTACAGTCTGCTGTCCTTCACGGGTCGAGGAGGACACGCTACGGCCTTGTCCCGGCAGGCGCAAAGGAGAAGCTGCCGCAGGACGAAGCTGGAGAGGGATGGCAGTCGACCGAATAGCGGAGCTTGCCGTGCGCAGGATCAGGCGCGAGGCCTGACGTCCACAGCGACTCAACATGATGCAAAAGGTGTGATATGCAATGAATCAAATTGAGAGACGGGAAGAGGAGGCAATGGAGAAGATAAAAGAAGAAAAGAAGAGGAGGGAATGAGGGACTCAGCGAACGAAGACGCAAGGAATGCGCGGTGATGGTATCAGCTCTCCGGCGCTGATAACGAGCTTGCCCGAATGGCCGCCAGTTGCCCGCGGGAAGCACCTGACTCTAGCCCCAATCGGGTTTAGCATCTCCGAGGGGCCCGTGCATGCAGGAGGAAGGATAGTCCGGTTCCGACCTCGCTTGCGGGAATCCTCGCTTCCTCTCATTTTGTGTGTTTTTCTCCTCCCTCCTTCTTCTTTTTCCTTTTTTCCTTTCTTCATCACACAACTAAATCCAAGATGAAGAAGGGCGTTTACGCTTGGCAGTTCTCGTGGTTGGTCTGGTCTCGATCAGGTTAACCCGGGCGATGCTGACATGTCCCCGCCTCTCACCATCCATTAGGGACAATTTGAACCATCCGATTGGAATTGTGTTTGTGTGTGTCTACTGAATGATGTGATCCACAACTACATGGCTGATAGGTGATAAGAGTTGGCTGGGACATGGGATGAAGTGTCTTCAAGATATCTGTAGTGGTTATAATAGATCGTGTCTAGTTTATGTGATAGTCAGGGACTACTCCCAAACTAATGAATGCAAGCTGTCATGAAAGGCATCGATGATCACGATCTAGAACTGTTTATCAGCTAAAACTATACTCCGACCTACTCTGTTTCCTCGTAACCAGGCTCCCACACTGACCTTCAGCCGTAAACTCTAGCATTGTTGAGCAGGATGATCCTGAGATTTGGCGACTTATGAATAGAAACTGGATATGAACCTATGGCTGAAGGGGGCAATGATTCTCAGGAGTCATTAAACCTTAGTGAACACCCGGTTCCTGACCCAAACACAATGATAGCCCAAAAAAAGACGGTGAAGGGGGAAAACCGAACAAGACAAGACCCGAGCAAAACTAACCGATCATTTTCATGATGCCAACAGCATCCAGACCCTGAGAGAAGGGCAGTAAAGGACTCATTAATTGGTGATGTTTCACCATTGCCAGTTGCCCGCTGGGTTCCTGCAGCCCGAAATTGAACGTGGGGAACTTCCAGGTGGTAACGGTATGGTCACTAGGGGGGATAATTACCCCATAGACAGAGGAGAAGATAGGAGAAATGATAGAAGACATTATTGGTATTGTTGGTAATGGCCCGACGGTGGACGGACAACACTAGACTGGAAGGAGCGATGGTGGCTGCCCCCTCCTTCGCTCCTTCCTTTTGCTCTGTAATGTTATTTATATTAATATCGGGATCGGCCCGCTGGTTCGCCTCCTTTTCTCTCTCTCTCTTCCTCTCTCTCTCGTTCACTCTTTTCTTCCCTCCACTCACTCGCTGTTTCAGCTCTTCCGG